CAAGTCTTTCAGTCGGAATATATTTATTTTTTTGCCAATGTAGTCTGGGCCATAGAGTTGATGTATTATACGTCAGGTTACGTAAATACAAAAACAACGGGTTACGCTAGTCGCAAAGTATGTTTGTCTAAGTCCCGAGAAGTAGAACAGCCTGCTTTTAGTCTAAAATAGTGGCTTTACAAACATGAGGACAATTATAATAATATGTTCTATCTAATTCAAACAGCGTGTACATTATTAAACAAGATTTACGGGACACATAGTGGATACAACATCATTACAATAATAGTATAAAAGGATTTCCAACAATTCCGAAAAGATCCGATGAGGATGTATTCTTCTTCATAGGCCTTAAATCTTTTGTAACACTTTACTTTATGCAGACGACAGCACGGAGGTACTCTTTACACTAGCCATCCAGGTATTTCTTGGACAGTTGTCGACCAGTACCGGTATCTCCTCTTCTCTTCGTAGACACTATTAAAGCCACAGCCAGCAACGGAGTACTGGGCTTTAACATGTCAATCCACGTTCAGTTTCGCGGTTATTTGGAGGGAAAGGCCTTTAATTAAGAAGCTTGGTGTGCTCAGCAAGGCAAGACGGTACTTCACTCCAGGCCATGGCTTGGAACTATTGAAAGCGCAAACTAGACCCCACGTGCAGTACTGTTCTTACCTCTGGGTGGGAGCTCCCCAGTACTAGCTCCTTCCACTTGACCGTATTCAACGAAGAGCGAGTCAAGTCGTTCTAAGCTGCTTGATCCCTTGGCGTTGCGTAGAGATGAGGGGTCTTTCTGCATCTTCTGCCGCATAGAGAGTGTTCAGAGGAGTTGCTCGGCCTGATACCTGCAGTTGAGTTTAATTCTGTTCCACAAATGAGCTTTTATAAGGTAATTTTTGCCGCTCACCACCACTATGTGGAACCAGTTGCTCGGTGAAGTATTTCCGAACCAATTCGACTTAGGGTCCTTCAACAAAAGAGCGTAACAATTCTTAAAAGACCGACAACGCACTCGCGAGCCCTCTGGCATTAAAAGTGTCCATGGGCTTAACACTTGACACTTCTGATGGTAAGCCATCAGATGAGCCTCCTTCCCATTTTACTTATAAAAAAAAAACGGATTAACCTCTTTGATGGCTATTTTTGTAAAACACTTCCATATAATGTCTAATATCAAAGCGAGTGCGAGTGTATTTAAAAAATAAATCTGTTTTGTAAGATTCATACTTTTTTATCTAATATAAACAGAATCAACTATCACATTAGGTATTTTTCCTGAAAAAGTTTTAAATTCAACACTGGCATTATTTTCTCTGAGTATTTCATTGTATGCAGATTGCGTTTAAACGCATCGGCGCGTTTATTTTGGATCAAACGCCATGTATCTAATATATAAAATTCTCGTGTCACAGTTTTCGTTGCCATACTCCTCCAAAACGGCTCGACCGATTCTCATGAAATTTTTGTGTGCATATTGGGTATGTCTGAGAATCGGACAACATCTATTTTTCATCCCCCTAAATGTTAAGGGTAGTCCACCCCTAAATATTTTTTTTATTTTTAGATATTTTTTTCTGTTTTTATTTTTTTATGATACAACATTAAAAAATACATACAAACCCCTAACTTTCACCCCTCTACGATCAACCCCTATTTTTTTTATAAATGATATATATGGCAAAACGACGTTTGCCCGGTCAGCTAGTATTGTATAAGTTTATAGCCTTTAACGATGATGTAACAGATAAATAATTAATGATTAATCTTGTATAAGACTAGTTTTGTTGTTAGTTGTTAGTTGTTGAATGAGATTTTAAGTTAAAAAACAATAATGGAAAGATAGTACCGGTGACCCCAGAGCTCTGTGCTTTCCTCGCTCCCTGCCGCGGACTAAACTTTTTAAATTTGTTTTAATTTTCTATTTATTTTTAATTCATATTATTACTATGTAGGTTAAGAATACGAAATTGTCTCGTGAATGTACAGCTACGTTCTAACTATATACTCGTATATAACGATAGAAGTCCTTAAAATTATTTGAATAGTGATATAATCAATAAAAAAAGACTGTTTATAAAGAAATAGTACCGACTTAAAATGTAGTTGATAAATATTTGACTAAATAAGAGTAAAATCCGTAGTTTAAATGGTTTAATTTTGTTATATTAATAAATAAATCTGATAAACGCTTATGTATGATATAAAACATTTTATAATTTCCGTTAGATAGCGGTTTCCTACATACAATATATTTGCCAATTGGAACATATTAAATTTAATTGAATTGTATTTTTATACCTAGAAATACATATGTGGTATATTTCTCGCGTAGTGACTGGAAAAAAATATATAAACGCTAATTTATTTATTATTATACTAGTGGACCCCACAGACGTTGTCCTGCATGATATTTAAAGCGATTAGGATATTAAGCAATGTATGAAAGTACCGACTGCAGTGCCATCTGCCGGGCTGATTTGTAAATCTAAACCATTCCCAGATCCCCTTGAACACACACAAAAAATTTCATCAAAATCGGTCCAGTCGTTTGAGAGAAGTTCAGTCACATACACACGCACACAAGAAATATATATATTAAGATTTATTTATAGTTAAAAGGTTGGTTAAAGCGAGCACAGCGTACAGTCGGTGTATCGTCAGTGCCCCGTCTTAAGACTTTCAAGAAAAAAGGCTTTCACGTCCCCATTTATAATTTATCGTATTAAGAGATTATGGTACAAAAATGTTATGTTGGCACAATCTAAAGTTCGCATATTCTGCCACACATAATGGCGTCCAAATTTGTCTTGAAATTTTACATAAAAGTTACATTATAAGTATTATAGTCAAGTCTTATATTATTTTATCACTACATCATCACATTATTAAAATATATTATATCATCAAATTAATATAACTTATAATGTTTCACGCAAATAATCATTAAGAGAATAATAATTTTTTTTCAAAAAACTTTAGTGGGAAGTGCTTTTAATATTTTAGGTAAATTATTATAAACCGCGATTGCCATACAATACTTAATTGTGGTGTATGAATTGTTCGTGTCCCACTTTATTGGCTATGGTTGAGGTGTGAATGGCAGTCTGTTTTTGGAGAATGGTGATGTGAGATGTCTATAAAGGCATTAGTTTGTTAATAAATTCAATTAATTTTTAAGCTATTGCATAGATTTTATCGCGGGCTTTGAGCGCTGCGAGCGAATGAAGAAATTCCGTAACGAAAAAAACCTAACACAATGACGTAATATAGGTGCGGCAAATACGCGTTAGAGTGAGACAGAACGCATACTGCGCATTCCCAACTCTCTGACGAGATCGGTGACGTAACGTGAGCGCGGCCTGTGCAGCCGGTACGCGTTAGAGTGAGACAGACTATATAGGCGTTTTAGTCTGAGTCTGGTAGAGTGGTAGATTGAAATAATATCAAAGAATAAACTTGAATTAATATCAAAGAAAACCAAATACTGCATACATAAAAAATAATCAATAATTATAACTGCATAAGTTGATAAAAAAAATGCTATGCAATAGCTTTACCGTGGCAGTCCCCGAGTGCCACACGTTTTTTTATTTATATATTATTATATATATTTACTATATTATTGACGTAACTCGATATTTTGACTGTTTTATAGCAATCGTTCTATTTAAAATAAGTGTTATTTAAATGTCAGGACTCGCGTTGACCGAAGACAATATTATCAATATAATTTTATTGGATAACCCTGACGCAGTGGTTACTGTTTTTAAATACTGAATTTGAACAGAAGTCTAACGTAAAACCTAGCTAATAGCACTTCATTTTTTGTTTAAGAAGCATGCCTACTATTAGATAAGACAGATAATGGGCTGGGCGACACGTATCTAGGGACCTTAGACAAGTATTTTGCAAACGTCGTAATCCGCTGTTGCACTATAGTAATGTTACGTAGACGTCACTTTGACTAACGGATGACACCTTGCAATTGTTTTTCTTTTTCTAATTTAATTAACAAAATCATCAAGCAACTGACTTACTTGCGGAATAAGTACTTACGAAGACGTCACTTTGACTAGCGGGTTACACCTTTCGCAACTTTTTGTCTAAGGTCTTGATTTACTGCTTTCCTGTCATTCCCTACAAGGCTATTGAACAGTCCACTTTCTGTCTATGTTAGTAATAAAACACCGCACGTAGCCAATCAACTGCCGTTATGTGATACCACACAATGAAGTTATATTGGAAGAAACCAATATATTTTTTTTGCGTTTAAAAGAAGCTTGAAGAGCTATTGCCTTTGAACGGATGGGATGTTTTTGTGATAGATCATAGGGAGCGTTCAAGTATTACGTCACGAAATTATATTTCTGTACCCAAGAATAGTAAAACGTTTCGTAACCCCCTAGTGACTCTTTATACCTAAAAGTTACCATTATGTGGTGTAAAGTACTTACTGCCCTGCGATTCTGTAACTCACTTTTCCAACTCACACAGCGGTTTTCGCATCGGCGGTCGCTCTCAAATCAGTCGTGAAGCAGTCATTTTATGATTTGGCATTCTGAAAAGGTGGGAGCTTGTAGTTTATTGTTTATCAGAATGCCAAATCATAAAATGACTGCTTCACGACTGATTTGAGAGCGACCGCCGATGCGAAAACCGCTGTGTGAGTTAGAAAAGTGAGTTACAGAATCGCAGGGCTGGAAAGTCGAAAATAATATTAACAATGACGCGTAATTCATTCTCCGCCCCGTATCGTAACGTTTCACAAAAGTAAGCCAAATTCGTTACGTAATACTTGAACGCTCCCTTATCCGTCCGAAGGGATCTTACATAACTACAGAGCATTTTACTGAAAAAACAAATTATAATAGATAGATTATTTGTCATTATTAGATTTTCCCTAAATATTGGTTTTTTCCTCAATCCGCCACATTGCTAAAGCACAGAAACGTCACAAGTGACAGTGACAGTACCAGTGTTGCTATTAAAGTGCCGTCAAAATGCGTATATTTTTTGCGGTGAAGATGTGGTGTAGACGTCAAGCGGCGGCCGCCATTTTGCCGTTGTTACTCACCGGGTGGCTCACGGGAGAGTCGTCGGAGGCATTGACAACATTTGGAAAAAGCAACACCCAGCCACCAAAGGACTTAGCACCAACCCCACCACCAGGTACTTTATGCTTAAACTACAGACGTTGGCTGCTCAATAATGTACCTCTGCTATTTAGAAAAAGGTTATATATCCTCACTGAACATTCATCACTATCAAAACCTACAACGGAGCTTGTCACATTGACATTAAGCTCGGCTTAGACCAACGCACAATTCATTAGAAATTGTTTCCCGGTACTGGCTCTATGGTCAATTTACTCTAATAGATATGAAGAGCAACAAAATATTTATTTACATATTTACACTTCGTTGCCTTTTCTTCCAGGCAACACTAGTATAGAAAATAAAAAAGAATCTAAAAATAAAATTTAAAATGCAAAAACAAAACATAATATCTTATTAAACAACATTTCCATCATTATGTCCATCCAGCAACAACAGATTATCTCCTATTTTCTTCTTTCTGTAGACTTGGTAGAAGTATAAATTTGCATATATGATGTTTCGTAATGAAAAAAAGTTTTTGCGTGGTTGATGAAAGTTCAGGGATGTCATTTAAGTAGGAGATTAATTTTAGGTCTAGGCCTAAGATTTCTGTATCTGTTTCATGAATATGTGTGAATATATGAGCACCGTGTATCTACATAATTTTGGTTATCTGCTGCATTGTTTTTTATAACTGCGTCTATTGTATTTTAGTATTAGTATTTTAGTATTAGTATTTTAGTATTAGTATTTTTCTTTATTCTAGGTACATAGTATTGACACATAGTTATCAAATCAATGTATACAAAATATCGTAAAAACTATTTTCAAAGACTAAGTATGGAGTTCTTTGCCCATTCTTCTCCATATGAAAATATCTTTTGGAACTAGAATCATATTTTTAACTTATAATTTTAACTTTCAAAAGTGCCTTTTTAATAGGCCTAATTGAAATAAATGATTTGACTTTGACTTTTGACTTTATCATCATTTGTCACGCCGTCAACTTTTTGGGTCTAAGCCATGCCGGTTTCCTTACGTTTTCCTTCACCGTACGAGCGAGTTTCAAATGCGCACAGACAGAAAGTCCATTTGTGCACGGGATCGAACCTACGACCTCAGGGATGAGCACACGCTGTAGCTACTAGGCCAACTCTGCTCTTAGTAAGTAGGAGATAACCTGAAAAATTACTCTTCTAATAATATCTCCTTTATAACTATTCTAAAACATTAATTTACAATGTAATAATTAAATTAATAGAACGCTACATAATACAATGCACTTAATAATAGGTAAGTAGGTATATAGCGTTATAGGTGCCCTAGTATTCAGGTCCCAATAATATTTGCGTATCCATTAAAAAATCATCGTAGTAACAAATGCGTACTTCAAAATAAAGTTCTTTCTGAGGATTTTAAAAGTAAGGCCGTTTCTCCACTGCTCCGGTCCGGCAAACGTTAATTACCGATCCGATTTAGAAACTCACAACAGTACTTACGTACTTCTCCACTACTCCGGCATCCGGTTTTTAACGATCCGATAACTTGCTAGATCGGAACGCGGTGTTTTACCGGTCCAAGTATATCCAAGTATCCAAGAGGTTATAAATTATTATTGACAGGTTTATTTATAGTTTGTTTAATTTGAAAGAATCTGGATAACCTGGACCAAACCAAATTATGTTGCTATTTATTTATATTTTTATAACATAGTATTAGCGAACTATTTATTAAGTAGATTATAATATTTTAAGATAGACAATATAAAAAAAAGTAATAAACTTGCCAGGGCAATAAAATATTCAGAATTAAGAACGTTTGATTAATAAAATAAAGTATATGGGTTTTAGTTAATATAGCTGTTGCATGATAAATATACAAGTATCGATTATTGTCGGATCGGATATAGTGGAGAAGCGCAATCCGGCATTCCGATATTATTCTCATGACTCATTCCGGTATCCGACGCCGGACCGGAGCAGTGGAGAAAGGGCCAAACGGCCAAAGTGTAAGCTGCAGGTCCTGTGTTCGCTACCTTCAATATGTATACACGGATGGTCGAATTAACCTACGCTGCCTTTGATATATTTTTAACTTAAGAAAGTGTGCGTGACTTCGTGAGCCATCAATCATACGTCATCATTGATTGATCGTTATGCAGGCTGGAAATAGAACGGTCACGCAATGTTATTTATAGGCAAGACTTCTGCGAGTATTCTGTTAACCGATTCTATAACATAGTATATTCTCTCCTAGTTTAATACATTCCACGGAAAGAGAAGGATGTAAAATTAAATATGAAACAACGCAGCGCACAAGACTACGCTACCTTGGCGACGCTAACGTTCCAACGACCAATGACAACCAAACGAAACGCGACACCTAATATTTGTTATATTCACTTAAATAACGTCAATGATATTTATTTGTTTCGTAATCCTACAGCTAACATAAATTGTACACAATAAAAAACAATTGAACTAAAGATACAGTCAATACATTATACATATATACAGAAAGGTTCAAATAATTGCGAAAGGAAACCATCAAAAATATTACCTAAGTTATACCTAATTCCGCTTTGCTGTGTGCTGATGTGAAAGTGAGGATGTGTGGGATGTGCTCATGATGCCGTTTTCATCATTTAGCGCTATGGATATTCTTTATATTTCTTTTAAGCATATTCACCGATAGCATTTTTATTGCCAAACAAAAAACATATGAACTCTGTCTAATGAAACGTAGATTTAAATAGCTATAGGCTTCTAGATGGAAATGAGAACAGTGTTGGTGTAGTGGTTTCCACGTGCGACTTTCATCCATAGGGTGGACTTTCAATGGAGTCTGTCTGTCATCTAACACTCGCTGGTACGGTGTAGGAAAACGTGGGGAATCCGCCAGGCCTTAGACCCAAAAAGTCGACGGTGTGTATCAGACACAGAAGGTTGATCACCTACTTGTCTATTAAAAATGAGGTACTTGCGTATTAACGCCTCCGCGGCAAAAATTATGGTAAGGTTTGGTTAGGTTAGTTTAGTATTAATATTTTGTTTAAATAACTATTAGAATAATAATCCCTAACCACTTTCACGCACCGGAAACAGTTATTTAAATAAAATATTAATATAACTAACCTAACCTAACCAAAACCAGAATTTTTGCCACGGTGGCGTTAATATTGACGACTCATTGGTCTAGTGGTTAGTACCCCTGACTGCGAATTCATGGGTCCCGGGTTCGATCCCCGGTAGAGACCAACATCGATGTGATGAGCATTTGGTGTTGTGCTTAGGTCTTGGGTGTTTAAATATGTATTTATATGTCTATCTATCTATAATATGTATGTATATCCGTTGCCTAGTGCCCATAACACAAGCATCACCAGCTTAGCGTGGGACTAGGTCAATTGGTTTGAATTGTCTTTAAAAAAAAAAAATTGTGCGTGTACTAGGTGTACACACGTAAGAAGTGAAACTTCTTTATGATCTTGTTTTTCGAGAAATGATCTACTATATGCAACTTTACAGAAATTCGTTAAATTAGATAAAGTTTAACAAAAGGCTTTTATTATCATAGACATGAATACAAATATTTCATTTTACCTTATTACTACGAAGATTATTATAGAATTTCATTAATTGTAATAGAATTATTACTATCATTGAAAAACGTGACGATTTGCTACAAAATTTCTCCCATACGTCGATAAAGAAGTTTCATTCCAACGCCGATAAAGAAGTTTGACTTCAAAAAGCAACATGGCGCGAACCGAAAAATGTGACGCGTAACGAAAAAAATGTTACACTAAATTTTTTTCCAACCACAAAAGTTTCACTTCAAAAAATTATGTAAGTACCAATTAATACATAGTAATTACAGATACAGAAATCTGAGGTCCAAACCTTAAAGGTTTCAGCGCCATTGGTATATGCAAGTGAAACTACTTTCAAGTTGGCGTGCTTGTGGCATTTAGTGCCACTTATTCCTAAGGTACCTTCCGCTAAGGCATTCAAGGGCATTCGGTTACCAGCCAAAGTAAATTACAATATTATTGATTACACGCACAAACACGCAACAATTATGGTATTTCTTGTTACAATTAACAATGATTTGATCTAGGTAAACATGCGCCCCTCAGTAGAATGCTTAGGAATTTTAACCAATGTAGTTGTAGACATAGTCTTGACGTGTATTATGACTCACTTCCTAGTTTTAAGAAGAAAATTCAGTCATCTCAGCCATAAGTCATGTAATATTTTCCGCGTTTCAATTTATTTATGTTTAAAGATACAATAACAAATACTTAAGTTAACTCTGTCCGCTATTATTTATTAGAGTCAATGTTGTGTACACCTATTATTAGATTGCATGCTAGAATAAAACCCAATATTGTTAATTAGAAAATATATACATGTAATCTGTTGGTGTTCCCTAATAAATAAATAAATAAATAAATGATTTAATACGGCAATTTCAATAATAAAATAACATAATTTCTACGATAGGCACAAAACTATGAGCTTTTTTATATTCAAACGATGTATTTATATAGTTTGATTTAGTTGAATGTTTATTACTAGTGTATGGGCTGAAAAGTTCCCAGGCAATTTTTGAAGTGAAACTTCTTTATCGACGTTGGAAAAAAAATTACCGTCACATTTTTCGGTTACGCGTCACATTTTTCCGTTACGCCCCATATTTTTCTTGTCTCTACCACGGTTTATTCGAAGAGAATCGAAGCCATTAATAACAAAAATATATAATAATGATAACAATGATAGTAGTAATTCTATTACAATTAATGAAATTCTATAATAATCTTAGTAGTAATAAGGTAAAATGAAATAATTGTATTATTTGTATTCATGTCTATGGTAATAAAAGCCTTTTGTTAAATTTTATCTAATTTAACTTTATTTAACCAATTTCTGTAAAGTTGCATTTAGTAGATCATTTTTCGAAAAATAAGGTGATAAAGAAGTTTCACTTCTTACGTGTGTACACCTAGTACACGCACACATTTTTATTTTTATTTTTACTTGTCTCTCCACTGAGACATAATGGAACATATTCTCGCTAACTTAAGACTAATAAGTAATTTTTAACTAACCTAATTCACTAAAAGCATATTTAACATAAGGAAGTGTCCAATAACACTACTTACAGTCTCTCTCTCTCTCTTAAGGGGAAGACACTCTGTTCTTGTGTACTATTTTTCCATAGCTACAGGCTAACATAGAAAAAATATTTTTTTTATGGAGAGCGATACAACGATTGTAGCGATCATACAATTTTTATGGTGCGATTTGTCTTTAGGCTCAAAATAGGCTTTAGTTTCCCGATTATCCTTTCATCAAAATTTTGTGGTACCTGCAGATGTACCCTATTCCACTAAAATCGATATATTTAGCTATTCAAAGGAGGAACGCTGCCAGTATCTTCGGAACCTTGCCTAAAGGGATCCTTTTAATAATATTTTTTTAAGCTTATTAAGTATTATTTTTATATTCTATAATTTGGTGGTTGTATATTAAGAACGATAAAGAGCTTTTATTATATCATACATATGACATTTCGAATTTGTTTGCGTTATGCAAAACGAAACGATATTATTTTACGAGAATGTGTCAGGCACAGAGTGATGCCTTTCAATACAATGTCAATGACATATGTTAACGGGCAACCCCAACGTTGCGATATCGGCGCTACAGATTAAAACAACCATATCGAACTCCCAAGTTACACTGTGTTAGTCTGTGTTACATAGTAACGGCGCTGAATTTCTATTTTCGTACACTGATTGACGTTTAACTCACATTTTGTGGTTTCCGGTGCGAAAGGAACTTGATAAGAATCGCACTTATAACTAAAAGGATATTTTTATGACCGAAATATAATAACGAAAGCTTTTATATGAAAATCTGGCCTCGGCGTAGCGAAATAAATGTAGTCGTAAGAAACTTAACTTTATTTATTTAGTAAGGAGTTTATTGGTTCACCATTGGTGTACCAAGTATTTTAGAACGTCATTCAAATTTAAATCACCTTTTATGAGCTGTCAATTTTATATACATAATAATAATAATAATATCTTGACAGTGCTCTAGCAGAGATAGTGACTTGCGGAAGCCTTTTGTAGCCTTAGTATCATAGCGTATTTAATAGTTGATACTAAGATAGATAGATAGATGGATATAAAATTAACTGCCGAGCAGTTATAATAATATCTATAGCCTTTAAATTAAGAAACTTTGTGATTTTATATATATGAACTTTAATATATTTTCACTCCAGTATCTCTCGGAGTTCGGTGTCCTCCAAAGGCCTCCTCTAACCCTTTCCACTGTTCTCTATCTATTGCGACTCTTCTCCAGTTGTAGCCTGCTGTTAGTTTCAGTTCGTCCTCCCATCTCTTGCGTGGTCGGCCTCTTCTTCGTTTTCTGTCTCTAGGGTACCATTCCGTCACTATTTTGCTCCATTTTTCGAGCGGTTACCCGACATATTTATAATCTTCAGATACCAATGGAAGATTTCTTCAATAAAATAGTGAAATACGTCACTCAATGCAACATAAGGGAGGCAAGAAGACGGGCCCCCACTCGCCTATGAATATATGGGAATATAAATATTAGGAAATTTCTTGACAAAATATGACGTGTATAAAATAAGGTCCCGCACCACAATAGTCGGGGATGATTAGAAATTTATTATTAAAAAAAAATTGCGTTAAGGTTATCCACCTTAACGCAATTTTTTTGCAATTGCAATTTTGCAATTTTTACAATATTATCAGTTATTCAAAGCTAGTGTGAATCTCGTGTATAGGGTGTAAATAAAAATATACATATATCGTCAGTGATACATTGACTGCTTCAAAATTAACGTTTACTGCCAGTTCTCAAATAATACCTTTAAAAGAACTGGCAATAAACTCTCCGTAACTGTTTTAAATTTGCTTTTTTGCTTTACAAAATTTTATAATGAGCTCCATCATTAATTATATGATTTTAAAATAAAAAACAATATAAAAACTCAGTCCCTAGGCCTCAGGGTGCCTTGGTTACGTTATGAAGCGATATCGACCGCCGTTACTCGTTTGTACCCTCAGCCAAAACTTACCTCTCCAAAAGGGCACACATGACACAATGTATAACAATATTTAACTAATTGCATAGATTAAAAGAAGTTTTTAATTGACCGTTGAGTGAACTGACAAAAGGTTTGGTTCATGTCAGTTTCTATACTGTATTGAAATTGTATTTTTGTAAATATTTTTATCTATTAATGTTGTATTCTTTTTTACTATTGTAATGTTTTGTATGAATTAAGTGAGGGCCAGCGATGAATCCCAAAAAAAAACAAAATTTATTTAAACTACTTTAATCAAACTATACAATTATTGAACCTAATTAAATAGGACAATTAAATCGGCGCGATATTAGGTGCACGATCAATAATATATATTTTAGACTTATTACTAATATTAGGATTTGATCAGTTCGATATGGGGTAACAAAGTTGTCAATGTTCGTGGTACATGTTGCACACTCCCGAGAGGGGTGAGCTTTGGCCCGTTCGGTACGTATGCGCGCTTTGGGTTGTATTTCTTTTTGGCACCCTGCTCATACAGGGTGGTACAGGGGTGGTCGTATAGCCCTTGGTGGGGGCCGCAGCGCACGAAGGAGACATAGGCTCCACTTGCTGCGCGCAGCCGGTGTTGTCTCAAAATCTCAACTTGGAAAGTTGTCGATGCCTGTTGTCCACTTCATTTTATAATGCTATTGCATCAGAGGGGTGCAGGTATTGCTTATGTGGGGCAATGCGGGGCAAAACAAAAATGATATTAAAAAAATGAGAATTTTAACGTCTTTTGAGAATTTTATCGTCGATAAACGTCGTGTTGCTGCATTGGAGTAATCTGTAAAAGCAGCTTATTTTTTTAAATAAAATAAATACATGAAGCGTCACAAATGCACCGCGTTTTCAGACTGCTCCACTAAAAATACTGTGTTACAAATAAAGAATTTTCTATTTTCCGACCTGTCCGTAAATTATAGGAACAGCCAATCGTAAATGTTAATTATACGTAAAGGTAGCTCATTAGATATTCCGCCGGTAGATAGCGTGGCGGAAGTGAGACCAAAATATGTTGACCCCTCTTATCTTTTGACCTATAAACCTGCATTGCACGAATTAAGGTTTTATTGCTGTTAGTTTGTTTTTGACTTCAGAAATGGAATCATTTTGTATGTATTATATTGTTGGAATGAAATAAAAGTGTTTGTATGTATTCACAAAATTATTGAAAACTAAACTAAATGGTTATGATCATTTATATAAAACAGGTAACCAACTTAGTGGATAGTCTGGTTTTTGGGATTTTCTTCTTTGCAGTCTCTAAAGGACTTGCTTCTTGTCCCAAAAGCCTTTTGAGATAATATTTAAAAAATTCTTTTCTGATGACAAGTATTTGCATTTTTTTCTAATTACTTTTTATTAATTCTATAATCTAACGAATTATGTTAGATTATATACGAATTTTTGTATACTAATAGTATAATATATTTTTATTTTTGGGAATGGGATAGATTTGGGTTGTAGGTTGATCCTCCCATTTACAAAACACTGGCCAGTTATGAAAATTACCAAGAACCTGCATTAAGACGCATTCATTTATTAATATATTGAGGACAAATCAATAGTAATGCATATAAAGTCATTATCAAAAGTTTCTTTTCGAATTACGAAAAATGATAGGTGTAGCGATAATTGCGCCATCTTGTGGTCAATAAAAGTAAACTTAAAAGTAATATGAAACCCGGTTTTTCCGAGATTCAGAACTTATTCAGTGACTACTCTACTAGGCACATTCAACACTTGATATTGAAGGACTTGTCGTCGTCCATATTTCTTAAAATACCAAAAAAAATAAGAAAAAATTATGTTCAAAATAAAAAATAGTTCCCGAGTTAGGTTCGGATATATGTTAAATGAAACACTTTGTCTGAAGCTGGGTAACAACTGATTGTAATTGTTTAAAATATGAGCGTATAACTAACATAAAAAGAGGAGTTGACAAAACTAACTTATCTAAGGGTTCATAAATTTAAGTGACACTTCAAAACAAGTACAGGCGACCTTTTTGGACATAAGTGTGGAATAACTAAAGGGCTCATTTTGGCTTCAAATGTGCGACGATTTTACTTATTTACTAAAATATATATATGTAATGTATAATGTAACTTGAAGTTACACCGTTTTTCGTTTGACTTAGTTTTAGTGTTGGCTACCAATGTATAATGAATAGACGAAATGTGTTTTATCATAGATAAATAAAATCTATTGCATTCTAGTTTGCAACGTCAACGTTATTTTACAGTCATAATATATTTTCAGCTCGACCGTGTTCGAAGCAGGCAGAATGTGCTGGCATCACCAGCTCCTCCTGCGTGAGGACCCACTACGATCCAGTGACCAGATGCCTATGTGGAGACAACCTGCCTCCAGTCAATGGACAGTGCGAGGCGCCCACTAAAAGTAAGGTTACACTACATTTGATACACTTAATGAATCATTCTAAGTTTATACGAGTATAATAGAACCTATCCTCTGGGCCTACTTCTGCTGGCTCCCTGCCTCCTGAACAACCGGCTCTTTTGGCCATAATAACACAAATTGCCTATTATAAGCTAAAAAATTTCAAGTTAGCGTAAAGAAACAGATGATAACTTGGAAAAGTCTTCTTCATCACTTTTCATGGGGTCTTCACAAAAAGAAGAGCTATTCTGACTATAAAGCTACTATCTATTGAGATTCGGTCATGTTAGAACTCGAGTTATAAGTGAGTCTATCCGGGAATATGTACTAATATATTATAAATATAATTAAGTTTTCCCTAAGTAAATAACAAATTCTAACAAAAGGATACAAGCCATTATCCATGAATAGTCCAGCCTTGCGATTCTGTAACTCACTTTTCGAACTCACACAGCGGTTTTCTCATCGGCGGTCGCTCTCAAATCAGTCGTGAAGCAGTCATTTCATGATTTGGCATTCTGATAAACAATAAAATACAAGCTCCCACCTTATCAGAATGCCAAATCATAATAGGCTGATCACAAAGCTGTAAATCCGTGTAATTTAAAAATTTGTTACAACACGTAATACAACAGAAGGCAGGTACCACCCGGGTAAAGAAGGGTGGGCAGGCCAAAAAGAATAATTTTGCCCATAAGTAAACAATAACAATTGAAATGGAAATTAACGGTATGGAAATAAAAAAGGCTTTATTATTATAATATAACAAAACCCCGTATTCTTTACACGTTCGCGTTTTGTGACCATTGTAGTTGACCCCTGCTAAAGGTCAGTTTTAACAGGTATAATTTACAAATGGCATTCTATTGTTAAACCAGAAATATGAGTATATATTAATTTCCGGTGCGAAATTATTCCATAGTAAGTTACTGAATATAGAATATCAAATTTAAAAAGTTTAAGTTTGGACGTCCCTTAAAGCGTTTGGCATTTGCAATGAGTTCGTCTTGAAGAAACTACAACAATTTATTTTACTAACATACCTAAGTCACAATTTATATTCTTAATTGGTGCTTCCTAATCCAAGATAAATTCAAACAACAGTTTTTGTCACCTAAAGTCTATTTAGAACTAAAGCAGCTTTACCCGGTCTTCTAAAGACAGCTTTACAAGTCATTTTCTTTTGCGAACTAGCTAACTATGGAATCGACTCCCGGTGGAGATCTTCCCTGGGAATTACGAACTTCAATTGTTTAAAAAAGAGCATACTCCTCTCTCGGCAACGCACTACTAAAATGGGTGCCCATGGGGTGCGATGTTGCCCTTTTGGGGCGTTCCGTAGGCTCGTTAGCCCAAAAAATTAATATTGCGTAAGATTGAGAAACGAGAACTGGCACGTATAAATTCAGGACTGGATTTTGACATACGGGAGACACTGTATCTCACTTAGATACCACGATACCTTGAAAATTGTTATTGTATATACGTATGTCACCGTAAAATTGTAAACACCGTTAGATTGTAATCTATCTCGCGAGATTATAAATTGTCGAAAGATGAAACCGCAACGCACTGCTTACAATTTAACGTATTATTATTCGGTAGATTGTAATCTATCGAAGTGAAACCGTCAAATTGTGAAACGGATCGCACCTCTCGCGATGACAATTACAATGTAAGAAGAACAAAGACAGGATGTCCACCAGAAACTTAGGTGATGAAATAGAAGGGATAGCGGGAGTTAAGTTCGGTGGCGGTTGTTGGAGATGTTTAAATAAAACTCTTTGTTTGAAGCTGGGTAACAACTGACTTTAATGGTTTAAAATATGAGCTTATAACTAACACACAATTAGGGGTTTCGACGCTAACAAAAACAAACTTGGCTTATCTAAGGGTTCATAAATCTAAATGACATTTATGTTATTGGACATTATCGTAACCGAGAATGTTAAAATACAATAAGTGGTAAAAACTAAAGGGCTCAATATTGGCTTCAAGTGTACGACGATTTTGTTTACGCTTGTAATTATTACCTAAAATATTTATATGTAACTTTACTAATGTTAGGTTACATAACTCGGGGCAGAATTGGAAAATTGTCGGGAGGAATAGAGGCATGTGGAAGAATCTGGAAAAGGCTTTCGCTCCTTCGTCGAGTATTAGTGTAAAACATAATGACATGGACTTAGTGTTGTTTAGTGTAGTGTAGTACTCGAAAATAGAGCAGTGTTGGCCTAGTGGCTTCAGCAAGCGACTCTCATACCTGAGGTCGTAGATTCGATCCCCGGCTGTGCACCAATGGACTTTCTATGTGCGTATTTAACATTCGCTCGAACGGTGAAGGAAAACATCGTGAGGTAACCGACATGTCTTAGACCCAAAATGTCGACGCCGCGTGTCACGCACTGGAGGCCATTGCCCATTAGATTTAAAAATGATCATGAAACAGATTCAGTTATCTGAGGCCAAGACCTAAAGAGGTTGTAGCGCCACTGATTTATTTATTTATTTGTACTCAAATAAAAACATTTTTATTTATTATATAAGCAAACAAAACAGATATTATTTACAGATTTACCTAGACTTTATTAACAGAAAATATTCTCTAATACCTATAGACATCTTACATATAATTTTACGATTATTAATGTTAAAATATTTTCACATTGAACGAGCTTTAAGTTATCAAATAATCAAACGCAAACCCAATGTCACGAGAAATATTATACTTTGACACGAATACTTTAATAGACGCTAAACAAAAGAAATTTAATACCTTGAGGGAATGAGCTAATTTGCTTTTTTAACGTCAGAAAAAGCTGCTTTTACATTTTTATAAATTTCGAATGTATTAACATAATGTTAAGACACATGGTGAGATTCAGTGTCGAGCCTTTGAACCCTCTTGTCAAATTATAGTACAGTAGAACCTCGATAAGCTAAAGTCCAAGGGAAACACAAAATATTTTAAGTTATAGAGGTTTTAAGTTATCAAGGTTCTATGTTAGGTAAAGGTTAATATAGAGGTATGTATATGTTTCTATGTACCCTTGCTCCCATTTTTACTCGAATGCATCAGAAGGATGGGTTCAATAAAATACTGAAAATTAAATATGTAATCATATTTATTCACATTACTTCCAGGACAACGATCAAAAACTTATGATGCAAGTAAGTCGTTGTCACAAAGCTAACCGCCGCAAAGCTTTGAAGAATTTAGATAAAGCAAACAATAGGTAATGTATTGTTTACGTTAACAATACATTAGTAAACACGTGCAAGCAATAAATACCGAAATCTTTTGTTTTGACACTCTTTCAAAATGACTCATTCACAAAAAAATTTATGTTATAGAGGTTGTGGAAACATTTCTTTTAGTTACTGAGGGCCTATACAGAGATTATTTATTTAAGTTATAGAGGTTGCGTATTTTAAGTTATAGAGGTTTTGGGCTCTGATGGGAAGGGAACATAGTATTTTTTGAAGTAACAGAGGTTTTTATGTTACCGAGGTTTAAGTTATCGAGGTTCTACTGTATAAACTCCATGTAACATCTATGTATGTATTGTTCGCGTCAGTGGCGTGTAAATCCAAAAGTTGAGACTTCCGCCTCAGGTTCTTGCTTGGAACTAGTACACCCAGTCTCTCTATTATAGTTATATCCACGCTTGGAGTTTATATTTGCTTTAGTTTGTTGAGTGGGTTTTAGGCTTAATATAAATTGCATAGAATCGGACTTTAAATGTGTCCTGTAAAAACCCCCAAGTTGGTAGCACTGCTACAATTTTAAAGCGTTTTATGGAGTGCTATACTATATTAATTGTACCACAGATTTTATTCAATTTAAATATCATTTCCAGCTTTATACCACGTGTGTGCGAACAGCGACGAATGCAACGATGGTCTTATCTGTGGAGCCCCGAATATAACGAGCGCTGCCCCGGCGCATATGCGGGTATTCACGCCACAGGACAAAATCTGTCTCTGCGACACTGAAAATGGGTATAAAGAAAAGGAACATGCTTGCAATGGTGAATATACGATTCTATGATAATTAATGAAATATCCAGTAAGACCTCGTAGCTCGGCAAGGTTATGTGATTTAAATTATTAATTTAATAGTAAAGTCTAATCTGTAATATGATTTCAATTTTGTCATTTTGCCTAGAGAAAATATTTTGCGGGTTCTAGATGAATGATGATGATTATGAATTGATGAATTGTTAAGGCGCAAACTTATAAATAAAATAGCTGACCCGCCAAACGTTGTTTTGCCATATATATTATTTTTAGGGAACATTTTTTTAGTTCAATAGGGGTTTATCGTAGAGGGGTGAAAATTAGGGGTTGTGTGTATTTAGTATCTATTGTAAAAAAAAAAAAAAAAAAACTTTATCTAAAAAATTAAAAATTTAGGGGTCTAGACCACTGGAAATTTAGGTTTGAAAGATAGATAGTAGCCTATTCTCAGACTTACTGAATACCTATGCATAAAAAATTTCATAAGAATCGTTCCAGCCGTTTCGGAGGAGTATGGGAACGAACATTGTGACACGAGAATTTTATATATTAGATTAAACAATCATTTGTATTGTAGTGACCAATAAATAAAATTGTTTTTAAAATATTGACATATATTATATAATAGTTACAATGGCAAGCATTAGAATTCCTTAACAATTAATGAAGTTATCTAACTAGCAAAGAAAATAACGATGTAGTTATTTCAATATTGTATTTTTCTTGTCCTTCACCATTACATCGAAAGTCGATAAAAACACATACTATAAAATAATTAAACATATTTTCAAACGCGTATAAAGACGCGAAAATACTACTGAACATATTTTATGAAATATTGGCAAATAATTTCATTTTAATAGTTTTAAATAAAAGTCTAACCAAGGATTTTATGACAACTTAGCAATAAAATAATTTTGTTTCAGATGCGGTTATACTGAAGATTTCACTGTTCGCTATCATCTTCGTGTCTTGTTTACGAAAATTAATATTGTAATTCATCTAACCTGTACGTAAATCGTAATCTAAAACGTAAATCTAGCATCCGTCAACCATATTTTAATTTCATAATCTTATAGATTTCCGAAAATACGACACATCAAACATCAATAAACAAAATTATGACATCTCTTTGAGATAATAGATAAGCAAACTCTTTACATTAGTAGACAATTTTTTCTTTATTACCTGACAATTGACATTTCTCTATGAGATTTACGTTTTGGATTGCCATCATAAAAATTATTTGTTCATGCACGCAAAGAATAAATGTTAATATTAAGATAGTGAAAGATTACTTTAGATTCAAAGTTATTTTTATAAACTAACTATCCTTATCTATGTCACTATTCATTGCTTTTCACTAGTATACGTTATACATAAGTGTTTTCGTGTATTGGTTATTAGAGTTTAATATTTACTGGAATATTAATGGTATCATTCTTAGGTACGTAGAGGGTTAGACACAAATTACATAGTTTTCGAGTAACCAAATAAGGCTCCAAATGTATAACCAATTTCTTAATACATTATTACAATTTTTTTCTACTTGTAATAGTTAAAGAATTGTTAAAATCTATATATACATGAAAAACAGTAATATTTGATTGAAAGATTTATATAAAAAAAGCAAATGATCAGAGATAGAATAATTACTAAGAAAAATATATTAATTTTTTTTTTAAATAATAAAAATACAAAAGAATGTGCTTTGTAATTAGTCCTTATTATACAACTGCAACATTTTTAGATGCTTTTCTTATTCAAAATCTATTATTGTAACGATATTTAAAAAAAAAATTATATACGAAGATTACGGGTGTCACAATTAATCATCAACAACAAAAATGAAATTGTCCAAATTTTTAAATTATTGCCATGTAAAAAAAAGAATTTTATGTAGGTTCTCAAATTTAATATTACATGGTACATCCAACATTCCAACCGTGTTAACACAAAAATGATTGCAATGTTAGCTAGGGACATGAAAAGATGTATAATAAAAAAAATTGTTTTTGTTAAGTTTCCGGGGTTACCCAATACCGACCCTATCACCCGACTTTGGCTTGAAGTTTAGTAACGGCCCCACCCTATATATCACTTTACTTCATTCTCAGATTTTAAATGTAAATAATGTTAATTCAAATCTATTAGCACCTCTGACTTTCTGGTACAAAATGTTTTTCCATATAGCAGTATTGATGTGTATAGGAATCGACTATCGGCACGTAACTTGACAAGATTTTATGCAATAAATGCGTTATAGTCATAGATAAAAACTAGCGCATGTCTTGCCAGCTTACGTCCAAGAATCTTTAAATCATTTATATTAAGAAATTCTAGTTTTAGGAATTTTAATAGATTTAGGCATAATTACTATATTATAATGTTTGTGATTAATAATGTTTTTTAGTTATAGTATTTTTGATTGTATTTAGATAAGTGTCGTGTTGTTTTTGCAATAAAATACTATCTTACTGCACGCTTTTCGTGTGTTTATTTTTATACCCAAAAAATGATATAATATGTTTATCTTCAACATGAAAATCTTTCATGATAAAATTGCAATAGACATCTGCCGCTCCATCATTTAAATGGTGTCTTTCCATTTAATACTTTAATTGGACAACGATTAACTAAATAATTTGTAGTTGTAATCGCTTAAGCCCCATAATTTTTGTGGGGCTATACCGACCTCAATTAAGCATCTAGCTATGTCTAATCGGGTTCTGTTTTTACATTAACTTATGCAATTTTGTTGTGGTGAATAAGTAGCGGCGAGTCTCCTTATTCCATTTGCTGATAAGCAATAATTACATTATTTATTAATGTATTCGGTACCGTTAACTATTTTCATCATTTTAATTATGTTGCAAGTTAGGTTTGGTGGTGGTTGTTGTAGATATGTTCAGATTTATGTTAAATGAAACACTTTGTTTGAAGCTGGGTAACAAACAAGTTTAATCGTTTAAAATGTGAACTTTAACAAAAACTACCTTGGCTTATCTAAGGGTTCATAAATCTAAGTGATACTTCAATATAAGTACAGTCGACCTATTTGGATATTATCGGAAACAAGAATGTTGTCTTGGCTCATAATATTAACTTCAAGTGTGCGACGATTTCTAACATTTGGTTTACGCTTCTAATTATTTACTAAAATATATACATATTGTAACTTAACTAATGTTAGATTACAACATAACTTGCGTATTAACTTTATTTTTGTAGTTCTCAAAAACGCTCAATACTTAAATCTATCTTGTGTCAATAACAGTCGCAGAATTTGTTACCAATTTGTGTTCCATCGGCACATGAATTTCGGAATCTAAAAAAAAAACTGTAACAAAAGTGTTGCTGCGTTGATAAACCGTAACTTTACATACACGCCCTACTGTCACTGTCATCCAAGTGTCAAAAGTCAAAACATCCTTGTAAAATTAGTACCTACAACTACTTAGTACTTACTACGTACTGTCTTACTACAAGCCAATTTATAAACGAATCGTAGTCGTAGAACTCTGAAGTCTGAGGCACGTTTTAGTTATAACCATATTTTTCATATTTATTCTCCGCCTGCAATGGCAAATGATCCACTGGATGAATTAACTCAATTTCTAAAACCAGACTCCAGAATCGACCTGAAACATATTTCACTTGACCATTTATTAGGATTATCTGGAACAGAAGAAGGTATTAATATTTTATTAAAGAAAGAGGAAATACTTAAATGTATTATTGATTTAACCAACGATAAAGTCGAGGAGATAAGCAAAAATGCGCTTCTATTGCTGGTAAATATCACGGCAAACTCGAAAGGCGTATTGGAGGTAATAAAATACAAACCTGGTGGTAAAACAAATATTATAGAACTTTTTATAGGTTATGTCCAAGACCAACATAAAAAAAACGCTGATGCTGTCTGCATGATACTTTCAAATATAACCCGGGTAGATAAGGCACTAGAGATAACAATAGACACATTTTTACCTCACTTAAATGGTATATTAAACGCTTTCGTGAACTTAGACTACAACAAAACAGGTTCTAATTTAAATTATCTCGCTCCTCTGTGTAGCAACTTAAGTTGTAACCCTCGTGTAAGAAAGTGGCTGTTGAAAACAAACCAGCCTGTTCCATTAATACAACTTCTCCCTTTCTGTAATTTCAACATTTCTAGTATCAGAAGAGGAGGTGCCATTGGTATTATACGAAATATTTCATTGGATACTTCATATCATGAATGCTTACTATCAACTGAGTTGGATTTGTTAACCTACCTATTAACACCTATAATTGGTAATGAAGAGTACTCAGATGATGAAATGGATTCCCTTCCAATTACTTTACAGTATTTACCTACTGAAAAACAACGAGATCCAGATATTGATATACGCAAAATGGTTTTAGAAACACTAAATCTCCTTTGTGCTACAAAGTGTGGGAGAGAAATTTTAAGAAATAATGGAGTATATTATGTGTTACGGGAATACCATAAGTGGGAAAAGGACCCAAAAACAAGGCTTGCATGTGAAAATGTTGTGGATATTTTAATTCAAAAGGAAGAGGAAGTAGGAGCAGATGATTTATCTAAGGTGGAAGTACCAGCCACATATGATGACAAGTTTCAAAAAATGGATGAAGATTATGTAAATAGTGGATGATAGAAAATATATTATTATTGTTTTTATCTTTTACTATTTCTTTTATTTTAAGATTTTTGTTACACATATATTTAGTACAGATAGAACTTTGCGACTGATCTTTGACATAGCTAATAAAGTTCTCTAAATCATTCCTCAGAAGTAGAATTAGGATACATGTCTTAAATTTCTGATTATAAGTGCTATATTTTTTTAATCCCCAATATAGATATTGTGAAACACTATTATGGAATAAATTTACCATTTCTGATGGTTTTATACTGTAGAATCCTTACTTATGCAACATAGGGATCTTACAATATAAGGATGATAAGAAATATTAAACCTTAAAATATTAATCAAAATCAACTTTGCTTAACATAATACACCAATATGCAACACTCGAGTTTAATAAAAAAGACAATTAAGTATTCATTAACACAAATTTGGTCCTACATGTTCAAATATAATATTAATCTCGTTTAAACATATAGTATCTATGAAAAATAAATTTATTTCACAATAAACTTCCCCATTTTGTGGGAATCTTTTGGTTAACTTTTGGAAAGAGAAGTATGTATGAGATTTAAACCACATATCAGTTTTCTTCTTGGACCTTTTTATAAATCTTTATTTAATCTAAAAAAAGAAGGCTTGAAGTCTATCAAATAAATGTAAAAATGTGTTTTATAATATTTATCTTCTGTTCTAACAATACTTACAGAAAAGATAGAGATTTACCCTCCTTATTCATTAAAACTAGTCTAATTGCACCATGTTAGCTAAAGTTCTTTCACAGCATTAATATAAATTGATAGAAAATACAGAGACAATTTATTTATAAATAAGGGAGTAAATGTATATTTATCCATGATTCTTTAATCTCTTTTATGTTCTCAATGTTAGAAACGGAAAAATTATATGTTGCTTTAGTATAACTGAATTACAGTGAATCCTAATTGTAATTTTTCAATATGTTATCCAAACTTTATATATTACATTTATTTGACAGCTAGATATGTACAACACTATTTAATTATTTGTTGGTGGTGGTTGATATGTCTTAATCTTTTCCATACGAGCCTTTCTTCGTTCTGATGGTGTAGCTCCCCTGAGTTTTGTAATTATATGAGGTGCCTTGGAATCTCCGGGTTTGTATGATGAGGCTACCTCCTAAAAACCAACTATATATTAATACAGTAAATAATTTTTTTTGTACACTGTTTAAAACAACTTTACAAAATTTTGAGCATACCAATAAAAGTAACCTACTTCTAAATCAGACATTAGAGACAGGGTGTTACTGAAGTTTACTGATATCCAACCACTCATTAGTAAACTAGTATAGGATATGAAAGCTTACATTTTGAGTTAGTTAAAAATACTTACATCATCCCAGGACTCTTCGCATTGTATATTTGTTGTGCCAACAACTGTGACTGGGACATAAGAATTATCATCAAAATTATATAACTGGTTGTCTAGCATTCCACGACGCATACATGAGTTTACATGGTGCTGAAAATTTCAATAAATTGTTTTAACTTACTCTTATTATATCTTATATTTATGTTTAGATGTAGATTTATGGACCTTAGCTTGTTATTTGATCAGTTGATACTTGTTTTATACAGAAGCAGCTATTATTCTAATACTGTATTTAAAATGCATAGTTAGTTATATTAAATTGAAACTCACATCTATCTCCGGACTATTCACTATGTGTGTAGAATCAAATGGACATACTAATTTTATAACATTAGGATATTGCTTTTTACATTTTTGTAAGTGTACATGCATTCTATATGATTCGATTTGATGTGCCATATTAAATGGACAGGCCAACAATCTGTGTGGATCGGCAGACATTTCTGTAAGAAAATTTTTAAATCTGCAAGGTTTATGAATATTTCAAAGGAACCTTAAATTTTGATATACCTATAAGAAGAATTAACAATACAAAGGAGGTCTTCATAGTGTGAATTTAAGAGTTAGGGACAATTTTAAAGGCTACAATAAAATTTTAAAATCACATAAAGCAAAATCTAATAATGGTTTCAGAGTGTCATGGTGCAAATAACAATGTCAATATAACACTGCCATTGCCACTGTTTCATAACTTTAAAATTAATTAAAAAAATATTCTGGTTAGGTATTGTGAGTACTCTAGTGTAAAAATTATTGTAAATTCAGACAATCATGCAAAACACCTTAAAAATTGCTACAGTTTGTACTGTATAGTATCAAAAAATTATAACCAATATATTAAATACATATAAGGAAAAATGGGTGCTTTACTTTATAGTACGTAGTATACATCTAAGAACATTAAATTTAAAAATACCACAGGAAATTAAAAAACCCATTAAAATATATTATGCAAAATTACCAATAAGCAGAGAATTGGAAGTTGTACTAATATACAAAAATCACTTCTTTTCAACTGGATAAACCGATTACTTTCGAGCTGGTGCCTGGTGCATAAATATGTAATGTAATCAACGCAGTACAAATTGCAAAGTTTTTTTTTTTTTTTTTTATGGCTCTGGCACGATTTGTGCATTAGCCAGCGTCAAGTATAGGACTTTTTATAATTCGTGCTCGTCTTTTAGAAATTCGACAGTGCCCTTTATGTACGGTTTAAGCACTCGCCCGGTACCGCACAACCCTCCCAAAGGCCGAGAACAAATTTGAATTAAATTAAAACTTGCCCTCGAACCGGGAATCGAACCCGGTACCCCTCACCTAGCTGCCACTTAATAAGACCGCTAGGCTATGAGGCCCCCAATTGCAAAGTTGACGGTGGACCAAAATAAATACCAATGCCAAAGAGAGAAAAAAACTAATCTAATATAAAAACACGGTTTTCACTATTCACCGCTAATAGATTCAAATCATGTTTTTTAATGGCTACAGTTACACACAGTGCGTATTGCCACAGACAAAAGTATGGAAACGGAATAGTAAAGGAAAATAATTTTACATCGGACGAAATTTACATCGGATAAAGGATAGGATCAGCAGGTTATAAATAATATAAAATACTTAATTATGGAAAGAGAACAGTAATTAATAAAATATGTATATCACATAGAATACTATTTGTATACATATGTACTTACAATTGTATATTACTATATACTTATATTATATATACTGGAAGAAGGATGAGGATGATAAAATAACATGGAGTGGAGGAGAAGACAGAATTATAAGATTAAAATTACCAATATTCAGCCCACACTCAGACGTTTCATTAGCAATAATAATATGAAATCTGGTAAGGTGGGCTAGGGTACATATATGGCCCAATGTCATACGAATGAGAGACAATGTTTCCTTTTTATTAAATATCATTTTAAAAGCCATGGCTTCAGTGGTATTGTGGGCTGTATGGATGAAAAATATTTACCTTTAATTAAACTGCTCTGAATCCAATGGTTAAAATAAATTAATCAATGGCGCTACAACCTTTGTAGGTTTGGGCCTCAGATTTCTGTATCTGTTTCATGATCATTTGGTAATCTAATAGGTAGTAGTAGTAGGGGATCAGCCTTCTGGTTTTCTCACGATGTTTTCCTTCACCGTTCGAGCGAATGTTAAATGCGCACATAGAAAGAAAGTCCATTGGTGCACAGCCGGGGATCGAACCTACGACCTCAGGGATGAGAGTCACACGCTGAAGCGACTAGGCCAACACTGCTCACTGAATACAATGGTTAGTCCAAGATTTCCCAAGAAAAGAAGCAGGAAGTGATGCCAAATCATGATAATAATTGTTATACGAATTAGCATGGCCACCCTTAACAGCTTCATTTGCTAGTGGGTCTGCTATGTCGTTATCAAAAATAGCAGAATGTCCAGGTATCCAACCGAATGACACAAACAACCCCAATTGCTTAACTTCATTCAGCAAGCCCCTCTCAATAAGCAATCTCAATAATGATAGGAATATTTAATTTGTTTTTTAATGGATATATTTGGAGAGCTTGAAGCTTGAGCACTGAGTGAATCAGTGAATATAATTGTTTTCTTAAGTTTCTTACTCAAAACTAGTTTTAAACCTTTAAAAACACCGTAACATTCCCCTGTGAAGATTGTGGACTCTGGAGGAAACTTTATTTATATTGTATATTAGGCATCTGTAAAATGTGTAATTGTACTCGTGGCAGTCTTGCTCACAGAAATAATTAAAAGTAATCTTTGCGTGGGAATCGCCCTTATTTATACCAATAATGTATCTAATGTCCGGAGAACTATTTAGAGATTCAAAAATTGGTTCCAAATAAAGGGTAAGTTGGCAAGGTGTGAGTTGGAGCTTGAATATTGATAAATTTATTGAAGCTTACGAGGTGACAAGGTGAAGATTTATCTGACCAGTAATTGGAAGATGTCAATAATTGAGACAGTTCTTGGAGCTTAGAACGGAGAGGAAGGATATTGAACTGAGCGAAATATGAATTTATCAGATAAATATTGCCGTCTAAGATGTAAGGCCACGTTCACACGGCGATTATTTTCCCGTATACCGTATACGTGATTTTATCGAATAGAGTAGTGACAACAGAATATATATGAAAACTTAAAAATTGTTTACACGGCGTTCATACGGGAAAATCCCGTGTTCGAGAAATATATTTTACCGTATACCGTGCGAAGTTGTCACTGGAAACGCCGCGTCTCGAAACGATTTTATCGAATACGACACGCAGTGGCGCTTATGTTCATGTTGTCTCGTTCACAAGAGTCGCCCATTCAAGAATCGTACGCACTCTTGTGCGTTGCATCAGTCGGTTGTCAATATGGAGGACAGAATTCCAATATTAATCGAGGATTTTATTTCCTTGATCGAAAAAAAATTGAATCGAATTGTTGCCGTGTGAACGATTGCATCGTATACGGTAAAACCGTATACGTGAAAAAATCGAATCGAATGGTCGCCGTGTGAACGTGGCCTAATGGGGCGTCAACACATTCTACCTGTAAAGCGTTAATTTGACTAGTTCCTCACTCCTGTGATTATCAAATCATGTTCTATAAGTTATGCCACGAGTCACGACGACTGACGTGATTATTTTGTTACAATCCGATCGATTTTCCCACTCTCTCTAGACGCAATAGTGCTAGCACAAAGCTTTTTAGACACATTTAATAAAGAGTCAACTTATTAGAAATATTGAAATTTGTTGTTCGTTTGCATTATAACTTAAAAACTCATCTAAACGTGTTAAAAATATTTTATAATATAAATATATACTTTTCTTAAGGAGTTTTAGTCTTAAAATTGTTTCTTAGTACTTAGGCTTTCTTTATTTTTTATAAATATTTAATAATTAATAACAAATATTTAAATTTATTTATTTATTAACGTTAATAATTTAATAATGTTTAGTATAAGTATTATTCAATTATTAATTAATATTAATAATAATTATTATTTATTATTTTACTATATTATTCATTCAATTTAATAACTACGTATGTTTCATAACCTTTTTAGTCCGGTCAATTTAGACATTCAAAGTTACATAAAGTCCCAACAAGCTGAATTTCTGTGAAATTGTTCAAAACATAATTATAAACAATGTCTAGAAGTTTCCCATCATTCCCGTGTAAGGAAAAAATTTTATACAAGGGCAAAGAAAATTTTTATAGATAATTGTATGATCTACAATTTATTTTCAGGTACTTATATGATAAAACTTACCGTTTTGCTGAAAATCGCGAAAAACTCATTTTTTTAACTTTGTTGACATATGTTTTGAACAATTTCACTGAAATTCAGCTTGTTGGGACTTTATGTAACTTCACTCTCATTTTTTGGTCTAAATTGACCGGACTATTTAACTAAGTAACAATAGGTCTTTGTGAAAAAGCATTGCTAAATTTCTTTATTTTTTAAGGTAAATGTCATTATGCTCATTCAAAATTATTGGCATAGCTGCTAACTTCACGTATATTCTATTTCTTTTTACTTGTAGATTGTCTTATTCCCATCTCGCTCGCGCACGCTATAATCACACTGACAACTCTGTGTCTCAGGTGCGTGCGCATCGTAAAATTTCACTCTCATCAATTTTTCATAACGCGCCTAAAGAAGTATAACTTCAAAAACGCTGTGGCATTTTTTTATAGTGCAAGGGTATAATTATGTGTAATATGCATATTATCGTAACAGTAAAATGTAATTAACTAAAAAACCTGATGCCTTATACCTTTCACAATAACGATCTTTTTGGATGGTACTTTTCTATAATCGGGTCGATTTGTTACGGTCCACAGACCACAAAATCGGAACGAGCTAAAAAAAAAATGCCATCCCTACTTAAAATCATTTCTGATTTCAAAATTCAAATATCAATATTTAACTTTTTAAGGTCAAGAACAATCAAGAAGATTTAAGATTAAGAACAAAAACAAACTTTCAAGTTTAGATTCTATGTACGTTTATCACTGGAGCATAGAGTACATTGTTGATTATTTACAAGAATTGAAATTTAAAGAATTTTGAATTCGTATAGGTAATGTAGTCTCTCAAATGTGGGCCACTTTTAGTTTTCATTTCTGTATGCTTAATTTTTCTTTTTCAGATATAGTTAATGTAAAATAAACCAGATACAGTCTTAAATAGAGCAGAAATGGAGAGATTAGATGAACCTGTTCAACTATTAGAAGGAATAACCATTAGGTATTTACAAAGGGACGTTTTTTTACATCAAATAGTTAATACTTGTTAAAAACAGTTTATCTTAATTATACTTATTTGATGTAAACAATGAGTTGATCCCTCAAATAATACACTAAACAGTTTAGTTACACTTTTAACTAAAAGTATTGGTTGTCTCTTTGTCAAATAGTGTTTATCCTGTGATGAAACTATGTTTATGATTTGTTAAGTTAAAACGGTTTATAATTACAATTTTTTTGGGATTGTATACAGCGATTGTAGGTTGGCTAGTAGTACTTTTTGTTTTATTTTCCCTCAAAGTATTAACTAAACATCTCCATTAAAATCTCCCCAAGTTTACTGCTGAGACCTTATGCCATAGGTGAATAGGGATTTATGAGGTAAAGTAATAGGCATATATAACATTATTTAATAGCTTATTATTTTTTCAGTGATTTCCTGAAATCACCTGTAGAATTTAGCTTGAATGTTGAACACAATAAGTTGAAAAATTTAGAGGATGATGATGATTTTGATGATATTTTTGAAAGTGAGAGGTAAGTCTTATAATCTCTTGATTTAACTCTAGGTATGTCTAATCATTTCATGTAACATAATATAGGGAATGCTAAGTCAAACAGATGTATGAATTATTTCTATGATTGTGATAAAAATAGAAAATTGAGACACAAAATAGCATATGTATTTATGTCATTACTTATATTAAATAAGCCTTAGTTTGAGCTTTGACAGTTTAGAGAAGCTCGGTAAGTGCAACAGATGTGTTTTTGTTTTATGTTGTAATAGTTCACATAGTCTACTTCGGTCCTGAAGTTGTGTTGATTTAAGATACTAATTATGACATCTACAGCCTTTAAGCTTACCATTCAAATTCAAAGCCTTTATTTCTATTAATACAAGAGTAAACTTTACAAAATATAAATGAATATAAAAAAGTTCTTAAGATGGTTTTGTTGCACAGCTGTCCTCTTGTACAGCTTGCCTTTGTGGCACAAAGGCCTCCTCCAGCTGTTTCCAGTGCTTCCTATCCCTGGCAAGTCTTTGCCACAGAGGACCAGTGGCTTTTTTAAGTCATCAGCCCACCGCGCACATGGTCTTCCTCTCTTTCGCTTGGTGTTGTAGCGAGGTGTCCTGCTTACCAGACTATATTAAAAATGTTAACAATAGTTCCAGTGATTCTGAAGACATTGTGCAGATATTAGAAGAATCAACAACAAAAATGTTTCTGTCATGCCCGGAATACCATTCATTTAAGGATTTAGCTACAAAGATGATAGATTGTGTATCATCTGGAGATGTTAAAATGCTTATCTTGGAAGAAGGTTGGTTTTTAACACATATAACTATATGAGTATGTGTGATATCTCTAAGGGTCTTGGCCTCAGATTGCATCCTTTTTTTATATGTACATCAGTCATTAATTCCTGACACATGTCATGGATTTTCAAGTCTCATGTCTGAGAGTGAGACATAATGTCAAAAGTAAAATAATTTATTTGATCTGGAGCAATTAGTAATTCCCAATAGTTTATGTACAGTTACATTACATATACTATCTTTAGGTACAGTGTAGCCCTAGTAATCTTCATCATTATGTTTTTGATTAAGGTAGTTTTAGCAACCTTTTGTCATCCGCCATTGAAAATCTAAAAGGTTAGTCCCTATTGGTCTAGTGATATTTATTTACAGGTGAGGGACCATTAGTGCCTGTAGATGCAGAAGTGTCAATACATTATGCTGCATATTGGGAAAAAGCAAAGATACCCTTTGACTCAACTATTACTATGAATCGTGGGGAACCAAAGGTATATATGTATATTTGTAGTATTTTGATATTATCTCTGAAAAATCATAAATTTTGTAATAATAAAGTAATACTTACTGCTAAATATATGTATTTCTACATTCAAACCCAAATTTTTGAAGTTTAACTGCTTTTGGCGCGTTAAGGAAAAATGATGAGAGTAAATTTTTATGATCCGCGCGCACACCGTCACAAAAAACAGACACCCTGAAGTTAGCTATAGTCAACATTTTGGTTTTTTCTATTGTTAGTTTCATTTTTTCTACAAACGTAGAATACAATTTTTTATAAAGATTTTTATCTTGATACGCCACAGAAAAAACATGTGTGTACATGTACACGCGTTAGAAGTTATACTTCTTTGGCGTAACAAGATATAAATCTTTTCAAAAATTTTATTCTACGTTTGTAGAAAAAATACACCAATAGAAAAAATTTACTCTCATAATTTTTCCCTAACGCGCCAAAAGAAGTATAAATTTTTTATTATTTATAAATAATAGTCTATCCAATGCCCAATTTGCTATCCCTACAGACCTTGGGTCAGACAGATGTTTGTGTAGTTGATGGCTGACATGTGCTTATCAAACAAACAAAAAATCGATTGTCTGTAAAGTCGGTTTACTGACGATAGTTGAACGTGACAACGTCACGAATCGCTCACTCAAATAGGAGAGAGACAGATGTCGAACGCTGAAGAGCGCGGAGTCCGATTGTGCCTCTCTGTCGCTTCGCGCTCTCGCATGCACTTCAAGCCTTAAATGGAACGCCTCAGAGCGAGGTAACGCCGCATGAGTCATGTTTTTTCGTGCGTGCAGCCGGATCCATCGAGTTACAAGTCGTCGGAAATATCTGCGAACCTGGCTTAATGACGTCATACAAACTGGAGAGATAGCAAAAAAATTGAAGATGTAAAAATAAAAAATATTTTATTTGTGTACTTATTTTTATTGATACTCGTACCTACCCATCTTACATACAGCACTAAATAGGTAGTTTATGTAATATTTCACCAAACAGAGAAACAATAAACACTAAAATGCGATTACGAAAGCAAGAATAATACACGTGCGGCGTCGGCGATTGCGTTGGCAACGGTACTGGATAGGCGAAAACGGGGCGGGGTGCGGGGGCGCCAGGGGAAGCGCATTCCAGCGAGGTTCGCAGATATTTCCGACGGCTTGTATAAGACGTTGTCACGTCAAAAATTGTTCCATCAAGAATTTGTCATTATTTCTAGTAAACAAATTATTACTATTTCAGGTAGTAAGACTATCAAAAGATGGCATAATACCCGGCTTGGAGATAGGCTTGACAGCTGTGAAAGGGCCTACAGCCCGTTTTCTACTATTGATACAGCCTGCTCTAGCGTGGGGCCCTAAAGGGATTTTACCACGAATAAAGCCCGAACCGGCGCTTTTCGTCGTAAACTTACTTTCTGTCAATGATATTCAGGCTCCGATACGGTATGTTGTTATCTTATTTTATGTTAATTTGATTCCAATTTTAGTTTACATTATTTTAAAATAACCTTTCGTATTTCTGCCTTCGTAGCATGTTGATCTAGTGGTTTTAAGAGTCCAACCCTCAACCCTGGGATTGTGCGTTTGAATCACCTGGCTTTGGAATGGAATTTTATTTCCATGTGTGTAATTGCTTGCTCCTACAGTGAAGATAAACATTGTGAGGAAATTGCAAGTCTCAAACCAAAAAATAGACGACATGTCACAGACAAAAGGCTGATCACCTACTTGTATTTAAATAATAATCTAAGAAATGGATGCAATGTGAGGCCAAGGCCTATTTAGGGTTGTTAGCGCTACCGAATTATTATTAATATTAACTGTGTACATGCATATTATATTTTATATTAAAACTAAAACAAGTGCATTTCCAAAAGGGGTTGCATTTCTTCAGTGCTGAGGTCTCTCAAAGCATCCCCATAACTTTGGCTTCCTTTTTGGCATAACTATAATTAGAAACCATTTATTTCCTTTGTGATATGAGTAATGAGCAAGTAAATATTCTATCTTTGTCGTTGATATACCAAATGTGTTAACTTAAGACTAGGTAATATTTTTCAAGATCAAGCCGCAGTTCAAAAAAAGTCTTTTATGATAGCTTTGTACCAGTCTATGACTAACATAATGTCATTTTAACTTGCCTATTTTTGATATTTGGTAAAAGAAACACTACTGCAAACTTAAAATATTTATAATAAAAATAAATCAGTGGCGCTACAACCTCTTTAGGTCTCAGATTTGTGAATCTGTTTCATGATAATTTTTAAATCTAATATAAGTAGGTGATCGGCCTCCAGTGCATGACACACGCCGTCGACATTATGGGTCTGACATGTTGGTTTCCTCACGATGTTTCCTTCACCGGTCGAGCAAATGTTAAATGCGCACATAAAAAGAAACTCCATTGGTGCACAGCCAGGGATCGAACCTACAACCTCAGGTATGAGAGTCGCACGCTGAAGCCACTAGGCCAACACTGCTGTTAAAATATATATACAAAGTAATAAATAATTCTGGATTCCTTAGAAGCAGATTCACTATATATTGTTATTAAAAACTTTTTTTTTTATTTCCTTGTATTCTTTATTACAGTTTCAACGATTTACCATTAGAGGAACAAAGAAAATATGAAGTCACTATAAGAACAGTTACATCTCTTCACACCCAAGCAAAAAACGATTATGCTAAGAAAAAATTTAATAAGTGTATAAAACATTATCAACAATCCATCTGTGTTCTAAATTTATCCGTGGTTAAGAACAGCGAAGAAGAAGCCGAAATACGTAGACTAAAGGTCAATACATTCATTAATTTGGCCGTCTGCTATTATAAAACCAATAAACCAAAAAATATTATAAAAATGTGTGAAAGCATAGACTATATTTCAGATATAGATAAGCATTGCAAAGCGTTATTTTATTTTGGGAGAGCATATGAGATGTTAGGTAATATGGATAACGCCTTAAAATACTACGAAAAAGCTTTAAATTTAGAACCTAAAAACCGGGAGATTGGCAAAGCGCTGCATAATTTAGATAAATACAATAAAAACTCCGCAGTGAGTGAGAAGGCGTTCTGTCAAAATGTATTCAAGGTCGCGCCTGCAAAAAAAGTTTATGACGTTGACATTGACTTCCAGAATACAGTGCGTGACATGTGTCAAAATTTGGCGGGAACGGAGAGTTTTACGAAATTCGAATTACCGAATAATTTTAGGAGTGCAGAATTAGAATTTATGAAGGATCTGTGTTCGGAATTCAAAGATATGTTTGTACAAGTGGATGGTGAGGGAAAGAAGAAAAAAATCTATGTTATAAAGAAGGGATGTGTATAAATTCCATAGATAGTATTGTCAAATCTGCTAACAGGGTTCCTAAATGTAAATGTTACTTTGGTTATAAGAGAAATATAAAGATAAGTAATTAATGTATGATTTTTATTTTCGACTATTTGTAGCTAGGATCTTGTTGCGGTCATTACTGTATTTTACCGGAGATTATACAGAAGTCCTTAATTATCTATGCGTCATTACTATACTTTTGTATTTAAAAATCAATGCCATTTGATTTTAAAAAAACGACGGGTTTGCCGGCAGAAGTGAAAACTTTAATATTAACGTTGTACATTTTTGATATTTTGGAATAGTTAGGGAATAATTTTGCACGAATAGCTTTAAGTATCAGTATAAAAGTACTATCATTTATCTGGAAGACAATACAATATTTATTTATTGCGCTATCGTACACAAACATGACAATTTATATTACATTAAATACGCCGCGCCAGCTGTCTACTTCATCCGTCTTACGAATTTTCGATCAGGTCACGTGTCCTGACGCGAGTTATGCGCGTCAGACCAAATCGATAATAAAGCTTTAGACGTTTCGCAAAATTAAACTTTGATGTTTTGACTTAAAGGTCCAATTCCACATGCATCAATGTATCTGAGGAAAGAGACAAATGAATTAAAAACGTTACTATATTGCACGAAGGTTCATAATCCTTTAAAAAAACATCCGTCTTACGAATTTGTCCTGACGCGAGAATAACATTTATTACCCATTCCAAAAAAGTGTAAAAGCCGCCAAGCTAAGTGAGAGAGGGAGAGTAAACGTTGACTGGCTCTTTGTCCTTGAATTGTCTGTAAAATAAACTGAACAAAGTGGTATAATTTTGGTGCCCTCAGGTGTACCCCAAGGATCTCATTTAGGTCCTTTTTTTGCTTTAATTACGATGATCTAGCTTATTTTAAAATAATAACTCTTCTGTGCTGGGGATCTAAACCTTTATAGAACAATGTTGTCTTCAACGATTGTCTTAGTCTCCAGTAAGCTCTGTCTCCTCTAGACACATGATGTCTACAATCTACATCTATACTAATATTATAAATGTTGAGTTAATGTAAAGATTTTACAAAAAACTACAGGACCGATTTCAAAAATTCCTGGACTGATAAAAAAAATCTTTCATTACCTACTTGAAATCAATCATTTTCCAATACCTGTAGAGTATTTTTAAATTTACCAATGTCACACATTCTACAATCTACGTAAATGATTTACAAACAAGTGTTTTAATATAATTGATGTGCATGTGTGAAAAATTTGTAACATCATATTTTCTGTATAATTTTATGCCTACACGTTGTTTTAGAACTTATGAATAAATAAATATAGCCTAATTAAAGAATAGAATGTCTAAATTACTGAATGCCTAATAAAAAAAAGTGTGCGTGTACTTATGTACGCGCGTAAAGCTGTCTACACACCGCAGCCGCCGGCCCGCCGCGCCGGCACGAACCCGGCGGGTTAATGCCGGCGGGTGAACCCGGCGGCTTTAGAAGTTGCGAGCCTGACAATTTTCCCGGCGGCACGACATACAGTCGCGGCATGCAGTGTTCACAATTAGTGATTGCCAAGTGCTTGCTAGTGACTTGTTAATTTTTTTATTTTTCTCTCCACTTCATTAACGGATTCCATAATGTTTAGTCGATAAAAACACTGACGCGTCACTATTTCTTAAAAGCCGGTGGGCAACCGGTGGTGAAGAGCGGAGAGGGGCGTGCCGCGGGGAAGATCGCGCGGGCGCAAGCCGCCGGCAACATCGTTAAAACTAAGGCCGCCGGCCTTGCCCGCCGGGTTCGTGCCGGCGGGCCGGCGGCTGCGGTGTGTAGACAGCTTAAGAAGTTATACTTCTTTGGCATTGGCAAAAATAGTTTTTGATTGCATGCAAATAATTAATTACAATTAAATAATCAAATACTGGAAAAGGAGTCATTATAGTCAATATAGTTCAGTTTACATTTGAAAAATTAAATAAATAAATATTTATTATTATTCTCTTACATTAAGTGTATCATAAATTCTATTATTATTCGAATGTTGTTTTTAAATTATGTCCAATGCCGTAGCATCTTCCGTGGGCAACTTAATTCTGTTAATTTTGTGTCACGGTGCGCGCGCATCGTAAAATTTCACTCTCATAAATTTTTCATAACGCGCCTACAGAAGTATAACTTCAAAAATTCAAACAAGGAATTCTGAGATGAGCGCCTTTAACCAAACTTCATTATCGGTCTTCGACCAAATGTCAATCAGTGGATTAAGATTAATCAGATGATGACGACCATTTAAATATATAATAATAAATTTTCCAATGGCCAAGAAGTTTAATATAAACTTAAGAATAAAGTCTTTATTACTCAAAAAAAAAGACAAAAATGTCACTTACATGAGACTAATATTTAAGATTAACATTACATTATCGTCGTTCTGGAAATAATCACAATAAAAAGATAGCAAAAAGAAATTCTTGCGTTAATATTTCTAATTCTAATTTCCAAATCTTGATAGGTGAAGCTGTCAAAGTTTTGTTTTATATACTTATTTATTGGCTCGCGGTACTACTGCCACGCAAGCTGCAAACCTCACCTTTTGCCTCGACATATTTCTGACCTTGGAAAGTTTTCCAGTTTTTATTTGGTATTTTAAAGGTCCAGTCGATTACTTTGGCCTGTATCGCCATTACGGATTTTTTCATTTTCAAAGGTGAAGTTTAATTTGACAAAGTATTGGCACTCGGCGCAGCCACTAGAACTGCGAAACAGCGAAGCTGAACTTTCACCTCGACTTGAGGATTTCTCGAACGCTGAAGTCGACATCAAGTGTATTTATATATTTATTTCAATTGCCGATTTTAAAACTTTACTTAGGAGATATTTCCACAATTTTACCTCGACGTATCGTTTTGTTGAGCGCGGTAACCTTTTTCTTTGGTATTTTAATGCAGTTATACTCGGTCGGGTAATACTATTACGGGCTTTAACATAGTTGTACTCATCAAAGTTATATAAACGCTGCAGTGATTTATTTTAATCTGATTCAGAGTTACTGAATTTCTTGCAAATTACATCCGTATCGAGATGTTTAGATATATTTAAAAACTGATATTATGATTTTTTTAAAGTATACATATATTGGAATAAAATAAATTATAATATTCTAAGTAATATAATTCTAATAAATATAGCAATAAGCAACGAACTTTTAAAATATCAAGAACTGCCGTCGTTGGGTAGTTCCGTTCTATTATTTAGGGCTTTGTTAATAGTCTGTGAAGTGTCTTTTTTGTTGGTGAAGCAATACGTAGACACTGACATTACTCAACAGTTGATTTCTGACACTTGACAAAAACAAATAACGAAACAACTGACATATAAAAGTGACGTGTTATTATCACCGCGAGAAACTTGTTTTTTGAATTGGTTAGCAGAAATAATTATAACATAAACTAATTTTATCTCAAAATCGATAACGCGTTTCATCACGTTCGTCCACGTATAAGTGCATTGACAGGTAAATTGATTTCCATGGATTTATCACGCATTTTCGTCCGACCTCATACGTGGTAACATATTTCGCAATTGTGACTGTACGATTCAGGATTTTTCTCTTAAATACGTCGAATTGGTTTAATTGTTCATTAAGAAAAAAGTTAGTGTGTCTGTGAATTGTTTATAGGTGTAAAAATGCTTCGGTTCATAATATTAGCGGCGTTTCTGCAATGCACAATATCTCAACAATATCAACAAAAAGTCGCTCCGGGAGTCCCCCCACAGAATTATCAGGTAATGAATTTAATAATGTCATACATCAAAATATTAATTCCATGATTTGCATAAGGGTTAGACAAAGTTTGACACAACCTTTCACTTTTAGCTTTCTCTTTCTATGATTTGAACAACAAGGACTAACAATATAATAAGCATGAAGAATGAAAGGATATGCGTCTTCCTTTGTAAAATCTGGCTAAAATCAGATAAGAACAAGACTGTATTTGGATTCTACTAGGATTTTGTAGATTTTTATAATCTTAAAAAAATTAATGAGACTTGAGAAGCGCCTCTAAAATATTGCTAATTATTACCTTCAGACTAGAGACTTAGAGGTCAGAATGACTCCAGTATGTTAAATAAATATTTGAGTTGACATAAGTAATCTTACATTTAAAGTTTTTTAAAAACTGTAATAACTTAGTTTTGGGTTATCTTTTTCTTAAATTGAACTTATTTTTAGTACTTGACAATTGAATTTAAATGTATACTGTTGTTTAAAATTATGGTAACTTTATAAACTACAGAGATATAATAATTATAATATGTCTTCAAATGTGAAGACAAATTAAATAAATAATATTATATCCAGGTTCAACATTACAATCTTGACTTATTGATAATAACAAGTACACTGTTTAAAATATATTTTTTGACATTTCAACAGAATTATCAACCACCACCGCCACCTCCGGCTCCTCATCAGGTATGATAAAAAATATTTATATAAATATTTATGTCTCCATAGTCAAATACTGGAAATTATTCTCTTGAATTTATATGGTGATAGATACTGTGTTAATTTTTTTAAATTGCCATTTTTCTTTTATTACAAATTATTGAAGTTACCCTCCCAGAGTAATAGTGTTAACTTCTTAACCAGTTTATAATATTTGTATACAATCACTCAAGATTCTATCTAATTATGGGTTATGTATAAATTAAACATAATATAATTTAAAGGACTGATCCATAAAATATCATAAAAACCAGCACATTTTGACCCCAATCAACATGTGTCAGTCTCAGAGTGTTGATTCTAAAATATAACTTAAACACAGAAATGTATACCAGAATTTATAATTGCTTATAATAATTTTCCAGCAACAATTCCAACAGCCACCGCAGCAACAACAGTTTCAGCAGCCGCAACAGTTTCAACAACAACAACAATACCAACAACAGGTCCCTGTACAACAAGTGCCCGTACAACAAGTTAATGCACAGCCACCTCACGGCCATGGGCATGGTCATGGTAAAACCACTTTAAATTTCCTTGTGATTACACAATTATGCCCATATTTTCATGTTTACCTTAATTTTTAATATTAAATTTCAGATCCACAAGTTTTGAATGCAGCAAATATTGCCCAAGAAAGAGAGTAAGTGTGTTTTGAATAAATTTCTGAATAAAATATAATAAACAAATATTTTCCATGTAGAACATTATATATAGTTTAGTCACTAGTGCAATGTATATCTTTGCAATTGCAATCATAAAACATATTGAATGATTGAATATTCATATGTTTAGGTCAAACTGTAACCATACAGAATTCTTCAAGGCTATTTTAATATAGATAGATATTTTCTGGTTTCACTAATATCAAAAATCTATTTTTCAGTCACATTCAAGAACACATGGATGTACCAATTGACACGTCGAAAATGTCAGATCAAGAATTGCAGTTCCATTATTTCAAAATGCATGATGCGGATAATAACAACAAGTTGGACGGATGTGAATTGATCAAATCGTTGATCCATTGGCATGGTGAGTTAATTTCTTTATTTACGCCATAAAGACCTGTTAATTACACGTTCGTCTGTTTCTCTTATCTTTACGCCGTCCTGAAAAGAGGCGAACCGCTACAGACAAGAAAACGTCATACCTATTATATTTTTTATAAAATTAAATTTTATGTGAATTTATTAAAAATAATATATATAAATAACAATATCTTACATTAATACTAAGTAGTCCCACAGAGTCGTTTATTAAGTGTTATTAAAGCTAAAGGTTTTTTAGTTGTGTATTCTACATATTGATATAGTCTATAATAATTTAATAGACCGCTCTGTGCACATATATTCTAAGCAGGGGCTTGAGACAAATTCACTTTTCGACACTTGAGCTAATGTGATTTTGTCAAAAGTGATTTTGTCTCAGCCACTGTGCACTGTGTATTATAAAACAAACATATGTCAGAATTTTGACATCTGACAGATCGCTTAGCCTGTTTGGGGATAGCATAAATGTATGTGTTGTTGGGTATATGAACAAATGCTATTGTATGAAAACATAATATATATATATTAATTAATTTTGTATTTTAGTGCATGGAGTATACATATTTTTGTGTCGGTTTATTTTTAAAGAAAGTAGGTGATCAGCTGTTGCCAACCCGAAACAATTAATGTTTCGCGCGGGTCAACACAAAATATTCAAACACACAACACTTAAAATTCTTAAACGTACAATCCATTAAAGGATATCTGACACTTTGATTTATGAGCAAAGTACGCGAGAGTGAAAAGGATAGAACTAAATTGCTGTTTGAATATACGTAATAATATTAAAAGACTTGGTGGACTATTTTATATTTCAATTAATTTTTTTAAATTTTTAACGCCCATTATTTACATAAGTTTCAACTGCCTTTAGTTATCGTGGTCAGCTAGGTACTGTCATATCTAGTTGACAGCTTGAGACAAAATCACTATTCGCCAGGCGTGACCTACTAACGCCAAACTAATTTGTATGAAAATGGTCACGTGACAAAGTGTGAGCGAAATTCATTCCCATACAAATTTATTTAGTTTTACTGGGTCACGCTTAAAAAAGTAATTTTGTTTCAAACCCTTGACAAATTTGAAAGTAGGATTCGTTATTAAAGAAGTTGTATTTGAATGTGTATTTGCTTTTTGTGACGTTTTGGGGCTTTTTGACAGAACAAGGGCATAAACAAGAACCTCAACAGAATCAGCCGCCCGCTGGAGAGAAAATATTCAAAGATGACGAATTAATCAATTTAATAGATCCCATATTAAATATGGATGATCATAATAGAGACGGTTATATAGACTATCCGGAGTTTGTTCGCGCGCAACAGAAGAACCAGAAACAAGATGGATAGTTGCCATAGATTATGCTAGGTGTCAATATTCCGCTGTCATTTTGATTATCTTGACATATTTCACGTTGAATTTTAAATATCAAAGTTATCCCTATTCAATGTATTTATTCGTAATGTCATTTTTTTAAAATTACAAGTTATAGCCAATTTTTAAGTTTTAGGTTACCTATACTTACACAAACTATTTTGTTTTATTTAAGAACAAAATATAGATATAAAAATATAAATGAATGATCCTAATGTAAAGATAATCAAAATGATTAATAAATTACTCGAATCAATATGGAAATGTTACGGATGTGGTAGTGTATATATCTAAGCACAAATTGTATTTTTATTAATTTTTTTTTAATTGATGTTGCATACAAATGTTGTCTATGACAATACATAAACAAATTTTATGCTTAACTTTTAAAATTATGCTCAATGTTTGTATATATTTGAGATTAAAGATCGGTGCTCTTCTCGAATTCAAAGGAATCTTCTTAATTTATAACATTTATTGCATTTCAATCGGTGATAAAAAAAAATTGAAGTCATAAGACTATAGTCTATGGAACATACTGTGCGTTAGGGGGCGTGCAAGAATTACGTAACGAATTTTTTTTGTGATCACGAAACGGTTTACTATTGGGTACAGAAAAACGTTGCGGCGCGTTACATGGGGGGGGGTCAATAATCTCCAAAAATTGCGTGACGTAATACTTGAACGCTCCCTGATCTGTGTAAGTGAATTATATTCTAATATAATTAATAAACTAATTTGCCATGGGAATAAAAATAAAAAAGGTGTGAAAATGCAAAGGCAGTATTGTTTTGTGATGAAGAAAAAACTCAAAAAATGAGACAATGGTGCGATTTTTGTGATTTTTAGTTTTATAAAAAAGAAGTTTAGCACAGGAACAGATTTTGATTATTACAAGCTATGGGAACATCAATTATATTTTTTAATAGAAACCAGAATTTACACTTGGCATTGGTATACAATTCGCAGCCCCATATATAAATCACAAGTAATTATTAGTGGGATTTAATAGTTGGTTTAATATACTTAAAAAATGATTGATGTTCTTACGGTATGTATTTTTGGGAATTTGTATATTTTGTCCGTTTGTGTTGGTTGTGTAAATGTTGGATTATTAAATTTTTACATTATTGTATGTGTTTTATTGTTTCGTTATTTTGTATGTTGGAGTGTGAGAGGGGGTCATACTGTTTGTATTTGTTTTTGTACAAATCATAATGATAATTTTGGTTCATTTGAGTAGGATATATAAAGAAAAATAATATTTGAAAAGTACTCCACCTAGTGGTGTTTTAGTACAACTCTGTAGTGCACAGATACTCTAAATCTATTAAAACAAAAAGGACATTTGAAATGTGTTTTTTTTCTCTATGGCTCTTGTGGTTTGTGCATTAGCCAGCGTCAAGTATAATTGAAATGTGTTAGATGTAAGAAAGTATTTATTTTTGTTTTTTTAAATATTGCAAATGTTTGGGTTGGTAGATAGATCAATTATCAATATTAAAAGCGTTAGTAAAGGTATTTCATGTGTCTTAACGCCATCTATTTAAATAAAATTGGTCGTATTATTAAATACTTTAGAGGCTTATGCATGCGACTGTACCCTGAGGTCGTGCAACAATTAACTTTTCTTATTAGTATATTAGTGAGTGTTTAACACTCGCTCGTACAGTGAAAGAAAAAATCGTGAGGAAATCTGCGAGCGTTATACCTAATAATCAACGCGACTTGGACTTCACGGCACTGTTTTGTTTTCTTACACGTTAAATAATATATAATTAAATAACCTTCACAAATATATTCTCAGTATATACGTATCATTTAATGACAGTTATTAGTTGACATGCGCGATAAAAACTGTAAATTTAAAACGTATGTTGCGACACCTATAATTTATCGATAACGTCACTCCCTGAATTTTTAGGTCCAATCTCAGTTTTGGTGATGAAAATTAAGAGTCGACCTAAAGGTTGTAAATGCCAGGTCATTAAATCCCAAAAAAAAAAACAGTTTTGGTTTATTAGTTTACTCATAGACCATTGAAATGTTACATGGGCTGAACATTTGATAGAGGACGAAAAATTTGTACGATGGATAGTTTAGGAGATACAGCAAAAAACGTGTTTTCACTCCTTTTTCCAAGATAGCGGCCGGAGTACAAGGGCGCCAACCTACAAACTTGGGTTTAAGCTTGTATTGACCCCCCCAACATGCCCCATAAATAAAATTGCGTCCTCTATCAAATGTTCAGTTTGGCCCTCAAATTGTAACATTTCAATGGATTATCATATAAGTTTGAAATATAGCAAATTTTTTGAACTTGCAAAAATTTCGGGATTTTTTTTATTAATTTAAAATTAGTATCATAACAACTGTTTTATACTTTAATTGTATACTAGGTGTATAATGTATATATTTAAGCGTTTACTTACTGCCTAGCCTGTTTATTTAATAATTTATGCAAATAATACGCATTTTAATCTGTGATCGAGGCAGAGCCGTAGATGCAATGTTATCAGCTGTCTAGTGAACGGAAAATCGAATTCACGACATATACGTTACCACGTATTTCGGTAATCACATTCAGATATAACATACAAATTTTAAAATTTATTGCCCGAAATAAAAATAATATTATTTTCGTTTGTGTGGCCAGTGCTTAATTTTATATGACGCAGCTAATAAAAACTTACCAAATAGCTTGCGTTTAAATTGTTGCTTGTAATACAATTTGTGATGTTACACACTCCCTAAACAAGACTTGGTGAGTACCTACATTCATTATATTTAATTTGTAGTATTAGATTTTGTGACATGCTGCAGCTATATTTAATACGTCAAAAAATCTGTGTAAAATAGTTGTATTCGTGCGGAAAAAGAACGTTGAAGTTATACAAACTAATATCAAGGCTATTTGATATGATATAAAAACAATTTTGGTTGGACTATAGAACCAAATTCAAGTTGTTAATTTAAATTCTGTTATTGGCTTTAAAAATTCAAAATAATTTTTAAAACCCGCCAAAACTCCTCTCCAGACAAGAACCCTGTGGCATATGCTTGTAAACACCTAAACAAATATAAATATGTATTATATTATAAATACATAAATATTTTAATCAAAAACAGACAATTAATGATTGCAAGTTACTCCATAACGCTTTCCAAAGCCACGAATTGAAACCATTCATACTGTCAAATAGCCTAACTATACAGTTTTTCATAATCGAGATGATGATGGTGAGAAGTCTGTTAAATTTTGTTAAAAAAAAAGGTAATTTAGCACTGCTGCTAACAAATCGCGCGACGATTCTCTTTCCGCAAGATTATGAACTTTAATAACCAAGCAAAAGCTTCATTATTTGATTTATTTGCTAGAAAATATATAAACCTTTTTTAGGATTGTTACTTATTAACCAATAAACATATTGTATTTTTAGGTAAACTGGATAAAAATCACAAAGTATATACGGACAAGCAGCTCGAAAATTTGTTGGAAACAGCACTAACACACACGGATTTGAACAACGACGGATATATAGACTATTTAGAATACAGAATCAGTAATTATAAGGCACAAGCAAAGAACGTTGGTGGACAACCCAGATAAACTGGTTTTCGAGTCTGTGCGCAAAGGGAAACGGTGTGGCAGTTACGCAAACAAATATAATTCTTATATTTTGCTACCATATTTCATTTATTCACAAAAATATACTTTTATTTTCTTCATATTAATGTCAAGATGATTGGTATCGAACTGTTATGACGTAAGTCTTGCTAACATAACAATAAAGCTAATTTAGCTGCTGTCACCTCAGATCCAACGACAACTGCTTCTTTGCAAAGACTAGATTATTATCTTAATTTAAAAAAAAGTACCTACATGATCGTGTTAATACTATTTTAGACGCCTTTATTGTTATATCTTTAGCGAGAACTCAAAAAATTGCCAAAAGACACCATTATTTTACCGGGAATAAATCGAAATATCTCCAGATAATGTGCACTAAAGCGGAGTTTTGCAGACGTCGAACTCTTTAGAACTTGTCGAATGCATTAACAATAGCTAGCATATTATTTTAGGTAATACTTAATTAATATTTTAGAGTTAGGAAATTACGGATCATTTGTTACAACGATCATGAAATCAATATGAATTTTAAATAAATTAGCAAAAATGTGTAGATTTCTCGTGAATAGAACTTTATAGTTATATGAAATTTGTGTTATTCGAAGAACCTACATATTTGGAAATGTTACTGATTTTATGTATGGTGGTGGGATTGTTTAGAATGAATTAGATTTTTTTTGATATTTATTAATATATGTAATTTTATTTTTCTGTCATCGCTTTTCATAAAGATTGCCGACTAATTATTACATTTTTCCTACGGAATTAAAGTGTCAAATTTAGAACGTGGATATTGTTAGCAAATGTTTTAATCACCAAAGAGATCGATCATGAACATTGTATGAAAACGTTACTGACTGTCAAAAAATAATCGGCACGGACCAAATAAAAAAAAGGCTATAAAAATAAAAACGCGCGAAGTGCATTTTGGTCCGTTTTCATTATTTTTTTAATACTATTTTAATTCTACTTCTTGGGTAGTCGCTGAGTGGTCAATCACCTGAAGGGCACCACGGAAGCTCACTGGAGTGAGCGAAGTAAGAAGCACGCCTTCCCCGGTGAAGGCGGGTAAGGCGTGCACCCTAATTTGATTTTGATTTTGCTATGGCGCGCGGCTTTTAATTTGTCATTGGCTACGGTGATTGAATCATCCCGATCGTATCGGGGCCTCCTACGGGCCTTTTCTGTCGGATAGGGGTAATAATTGGTGCTTTTACGGGTTGGGATGGTGTTTTGCCTTATCGAAGTGTCGTGTGGACGCCAACTTTATCCATTGGGCTATCGTGTTGGAGATCGAGAATCCTCACGCAGTCGGGCGTTCGACTGCAGCACCTGTAGCTGGTGAACTTGGGAAAGGGCGCAATGTGCGAAGACTATGCTAGCGTAGGTCATGCATGGTCCGATTCAGGCCTTGTACAGTGTCACCTTGTGTCTAAGGGACATCTAACTCCCTCAGGAGGAAATAAACTCGAGACAATGTAATTATTTTCTTTAACTTAAGTACACAACATAAATTTTTTTAAAAAACAAGATAGAATGAGACGAAATTGGACTTTACTTAAGGTGGTTCTAGCGGGGTGTAGCTTTTAATTTGTCATTGGCTACGGTGATTGAATCATCCCGATCGTATCGGGGCCTCCTACGGGCCTTTTCTGTCGGATAGGGGTAATAATTGGTGCTTTTACGGGTTGGGATGGTGTTTTGCCTTATCGAAGTGTCGTGTGGACGCCAACTTTATCCATTGGGCTATCGTGTTGGAGATCGAGAATCCTCACGCAGTCGGGCGTTCGACTGCAGCACCTGTAGCTGGTGAACTTGGGAAAGGGCGCAATGTGCGAAGACTATGCTAGCGTAGGTCATGCATGGTCCGATTCAGGCCTTGTACAGTGTCACCTTGTGTCTAAGGGACATCTAACTCCCTCAGGAGGAAATAAACTCGAGACAATGTAATTATTTTCTTTAACTTAAGTACACAACATAAATTTTTTTAAAAAACAACATAGAATGAGACGAAATAGGACTTTACTTAAGGTGGTTCTAGCGGGGTGTAGCTTTTAATTTGACAGATCACAGATTATATTAAACATATAGATAACGCAAATTGGCATTTGTTTACAGATGGCGATGGAAATAAAGTTGAAACGTCAAAAGTATATAGTGACCAAGACTTAGCCAGTATTGTGGAGTATGCTATGGGCACGGCTGATACAAATAAAGACGGTTATATCGACTATTTTGAGTTTAAAAAGAACAATATATAATTACTTTTTAATCTTTCTTTTATTAATCAACCTCAATCTCTTAATGAGTCGCAAAATCCTATCCTCTCCCTCCTGTGGAGGAAGAAAAATCCAGCTCTTCCTCCGACCTAAATGAAAGATCCTCAAGTCGCTGACAGGTTGAAGGCCCCAGTGTCTATGGTTGAAATAACTTTATTATCGTGTTTCAAGGTGTCAGAACGTCATTGTACCGATTGTAACCGTAAATTGTATATAATTATTTGTCGTTAAATTGATAATTTCATAAAATATTCGGTCAATTGGCGTCTTGGACATTATTAAAATACTTGTAACGATGTATCATGTTACTATTTTAGATTTGATTAATGATTGTAGTTTAAGTAGTCTGAACAATAGTTGACTAATCCTTATTGGAAAGTTCTCTCAGTAAAACCGTTATTAAAATTAGGGCCTGAGTCTTAAAGTAACGTATGTACGCAAGTAAAGTAGTTACACTGGTATTAAATTTTAAAGGGCAGAGTTAGAAAAACACTTGGCATTTTAATTCACCCTTCTCACTCTCGCTCAATCGGTCTCGATAGCTCTCTCCCTTTTCTTCGACAAAAACGCTGCACATCTTCGTGACGTTCCGTAATTTTTACCCTCATGCGCTTAAAGTAATTTCACTTCAAAAACTTTTGGATAAAATCCTCGATCGATCTTCATAATTAATTTACGCATTTTTTTTAACTGGTCACTTTTGTACCATATTTAGGCTCAACTCACATGACACCTAGTCACATGGCACCTAGTCAAACCGATGCGACGCGTTGTTTTCCAGCTTTTACGCGCGAACCCGCGGTCCTCCAGACAAGCGTCAACGCCCGATGCGCTTAAATATTTCCATAAAACAAATTTGTACCTTAATAATGGAGACATAGAGACGACTATAGATGAAAAAGATGAAGCGTCGCGTCGCCTTTACTTTCTTGTCTCGGTAGATTTGCACAAGGAAAAATTACGAGGTTTTTTGTCATTTGACATCGCATTGGTCGTAGCCGTAGATCGAATGTCACTTCAACTAGTTCTTTTAAATTTAAGAGGCGTTTATAGGTAAAAGCAATGGGCGATTTTGTTAGATTTTTAAACCATTTCAGATTATTCATAAGTGGCTCGCAGTACTGATTCAAATTGTTAATTTTAATTAAGTATAAGGCTCATAACATTCATGATTTTAAGAACCCGCCAAAACGCTTCACTATGCAAGATGGGGTCGACCAGTCATAACATACCAGAACACGTAACCAAACATTTATTTACATGTTTATTATTCTTAAATTATGCAAGTACACATATGTATTACGAAATTAAACTCCAACATAGTATAAGGATTGTATTTACTGACATACGTACTTCATCGTCGATTTTATCTAATCTGTGACCGCTTAGTGTCACGTAACTGACGTATAAAATCGTATACGTCAGTCAGTTTGTTGATAAATCAATGATTATTTACAAGTTATTTTTTCTCTGTAACGCCTTTAAGAGCCATATTTTCTACAGATTATTCTTTCAGTTTATAAGACTAGACTATACAAATAAACTTAACATCCGCCTTAATGTCAGTAAAACTCTTTTGTTTTAGATGGAGAAGGAAACGCAAAGGATACACCAATAACATACAAAGACGAGGACCTCTCGAATATTGTGGAGGGAGCGCTAAAGCAAACTGACAAAAATAATGATGGATATATTGATTATTTAGAATACCGGGTCGTTACTGGGGCAGCTTCGCCTGACCTTTAATCTTACATCTTCAAGGTTTCATTCCTATGTGTACTTCACAGACTCAGGCCGTATTCTTAAGAGAAAATGTTAATCACTTTTTCATTGAAGATTTGAAATTGCTCAAGACAAGTTTCCGACTGACACGTTTTGGACTACACTAATACATTACCGTATTACAACAATTATTTTGAACAAAACTTAAAAAAAAATCGTTTTTAATGGGAATAAAAACTATAATTAATGCGCGAAAATAAATTATTTTATTATTGCTTGTGCTTTAATTTTAAAATCTATTTTATACGGTTGCATTATCCACGGAGCTTAAGCATTTTTTGTGTCAGTAATTAGCGTTGTGACTTGTACTTAAGTATAGTAAAACAATATCCACAGACTAAAACAGAAAAGATAAAGTACAACGACCTATCTACGTCGCTTTACGGTCTATTAAAATCTGAATGGTATCTGCGAGAGTGGAATAGTTAGTCTCATGCTGTCTTTCTCTGGCTGGTTTGACATGACAGTTACGATGAACTGGTGAAAATTTTATTTAATAGCATTAAAAAACAATAATTCTTATACCTTAGTATTAGAATTATTGTTTTTTAATACTGTTTAATACAATTATTATTATTACTTAAACAAAAAATCTGGGTTAAACGGTGCATCTTCAAGCTAGGCCAACACTACTTCAGTCCAATGTTATTTAAAAAACCCAACCACGATCCATAGACATAGACGTCCATAGACGATTACTCCACATAGATCATAGATGAATGAATTTTTGGATTATAAAATTACATTCATAAATATGCATTTTTATGAATTGAATTTTTGAAATAATCATTCTGACCGGCTTGATTCTTTCTCTCTACAAGTGCATTGCGTCGGTATTTACTAATGTACTATGGACAGTGTTCTGAAGTACTGTTCTAGCTAATCCCTGCCTTGAAATTAGAGAATTATCGCTAAATAAATTCAAAGCCCTCGCTAAACGTAAATTAATCAGTAAAGCTTTTTATAAATTTGACGAATACTTAAATGATCCTAATCCTTGGGATTGATTTGCTCCAGTTCAAACAATTTGTATGACAATACTTGCGATTAAAAAGAGTGGCGGAAAGTTTCTTGCCAGCTCTACGCCCTTGACTTGCGAACTGGTAGTAAATGTAAATTTACAATTAATTTAACTTCTTTTTGACGATTCATAAGTGTACTTGTTTACCTATATGAATAAAGATATTTTTAGTTTGAGTTTGAGCTTGTTTCATTCTTACCACCTTAGGCGGTAAATTTCCAACAGTCTACATTGCTAGGCATTTCCTTATGCGAACTAGCGAACTGTGGATTTGGCTTCCACTGGAGGTCTTCCCAAGGACTTTCCTTAAAGCCTGACATGGGTGTCTACGGGCTGAGGTAGATGCCAGTTATGGCTGACCTCCTCGTTTGCCCCCTATCATATTAAAACATCTTTTAATTTAACTCAAAACTTACTTAAAATGTGTTCATAAAACTAGAACAAAAAAGTAGCTTTTTGTACAGATAACAATTAAAAATAAGTGTTTTTCTAAATTTTTCAAGGAAAATCGCCGAAAAAAACATGAAAAATATTTTTTAATATTTCACTCTATGCACCGTTAATTTTTATCGTCAATAAACAAATGTAATTGAGTAGTTTACGTGTTCGACGTAAGTAACGAACACAATAAAGAGGTGTCTGCTGTTTTATGTGTGTAAAATTTTAATTCTAATGTTTCCGGCCAATAAATCTAGAGTTGTGTACCTACAGTCTACAAATCATTCTGATAAGGTCACCCTGAAATGCGAAAAGTTATTCCTACTAATGATACTTATCACTGCCTTTCAATAAATTTAAGAAATGTATTAAAGAAAAGCTGTGTAAAAAGGCTTACTATAAAGTCAACGATTATCTAGTTGATAAAAGGGCCTGGGACTAGTGCTAGACAGGCTACTTCTAATCAATTTGCGATATTTGTTTTAAATAAGTGTTGTTTGATGATTTGCTGTTTTAAAAGAGTACCGAGAGTTTTTTACGCCGGCTTTTTCTCTCGGCCTACACCCTCTGTCTTCTTTGCCGATGAGTAGGGATGCCTTCAAATTTAATGACGTGGAATAAGTGATACATGTATCTTATGTTCCATAATAAACATATTTTATTTTTTATTTTTTTTTTATTTCTCAACCTTAGTCACTGGGGCCTTCGGTGCAGTAAGTGGTTAGATTGGTTGAGTACCTTTAAATCTCAGGAAACGCCGTAAATAATGCGCTAACAAAGTTATTCCTAATGCTACTTCTCAACCTTAGTCACTGGGGCCTTCGGTGCAGTTAGTGGTTAGATTGGTTGAGTACCTTTAAATCTCAGGAAACGCCGTAAATAATGCGCTAACAAAGTTATTCCTAATGCTACTTCTCAACCTTAGTCACTGGGGCCTTCGGGGCAGTCAGTGGTTAGATTGGTTGAGTACCTTCAGTTCACAGGAAACGCCGTAAATAATGCGCTAACAAAGTTATTCCTAATGCTACTTCTCATCCTTAGTCACTGGGGTCTTCGGGGCAGTCAGTGGTTAGATTGGTTGAGTACCTTCAGTTCACAGGAAACGCCGTAAATAATGCGCTAACAAAGTTATTCCTAATGCTACTTCTCAACCTTAGTCACTGGGGCCTTCGGGGCAGTCAGTGGTTAGATTGGTTGAGTACCTTCAGTTCACAGGAAACGCCGTAAATAATGCGCTAACAAAGTTATTCCTAATGCTACTTCTCATCCTTAGTCACTGGGGTCTTCGGGGCAGTCAGTGGTTAGATTGGTTGAGTACACAGGAAGCGTCGTACCGTCCTCTACAGTTGTAAATAAGACTACCAGTATTTCGAGTTTCTAGTGATAGTTATTTCGACATTTTTGTATACAATTTCGATATCTGGGGGCACACGAACAAAAAACCAATTTAAAACAAATCCTTTTCTTAAAACAGTTCAGGCCATTTTCGACCCCCTCTCACTTGTTTTGGATAGAAGAAACCCCTAAATAACGAAGCAGGCACTGTAAAAATACAATCAAATTTAAAATACAATTAGTGTTAAGTCTCTGGCAAAAACTCACGGAAGAATTTGCAATTTCGGTCCAGTATTCTAGACACGACAACTGCATATATAACAGATATAATAGAATGCAGAATAAGATACAAAAATGTGTATGAAACTGGGAAACCCAATAAGACTTGCCCTTACTCTGTAAATTTCATTAGGGACATAAATATCTGCCTTTGTAAGCAAGTTCGATGTTGTTCTCTCAATATTATTGATATTTTCAAGGTAAGTAGGTGTTCCGCCTACTGCCTACCAATGCGAAACAGTTTTTGTTCCACTGAATTTAACGCCTAAATGGAAATTCTCAAAGAATATAATATATCTAGGGTTTCGTTAGGACAATAAAAAACAGATTTTTCATACAAATTTAATTCACTAAAAGCATTACATTATTTACAGACCATTTTCCTAATTACAAAATAAATTAAAAGCAAATAACTTTTTACTGGACAAAAACGGAGTAAATTGTTAATCCGTTTTAATTCAGTAAAAATGTTTTGATACTTAAATTACAATATTTAAAATTAAAGGTAATTAGGACCTCTCTGACGTTTCCTATTTGAAATGACGCTCGTAAATTCAATGTATTTGGTTATAGTTTCGTTTTTCATTCATATGTAGTTTGGTACCCTTTTTTTATCGAAGGACCCTAAGTCGAATTGCCTTTGAAATACGTCAGTGGGTAGCTGGTTCCACATTGCAAACAATAGCATTAATATCTGCAGCTGAGTTTCGTCATCGGACGTCGAGGCAGAATACGAAATTCCGTATCACCTCAACGTGCGTCGTTCCACAACTGAGCGCTTTTTATGGCAGTTTTTGCGGTGCAGCACCACTATGTGGATTTGGCTGCCCATTGGAGTATTTCCGAACCATTTCGACTTACGGTCCTTCAAGACCTATCTATCGGCGGCGGTTTCACCTAATATCAAGTGAGCTTCCTGAACGTTTACCCCACTGTTATATACAAAAATTTAATTGTGTGTGAAGTACAGATATATTTTTAAGTACAAAAGTAGTAGTAGTAGGGAAATCTCCCTAGTTGCAATCACTGCCCCTGCTCTTAGTGCATTCTGATTAAGAGTGAGATGAAGAGTTATGCACTTTTTTAAAGTACTCCTTAGTCTCTTTCTGTCAAATTGTGTTTACGGTGTGATGAAAAGAGATAGAGTACTTTAGTTAGAATGTTACGGTGGTTTTTTATTAATACGAGGGAAAGCGCTGATCGTGCTTTACAAAGACTATAAGTCTACAAACTTTACAAATGACAATTCTAAGTATGACAGGATAATGGTGATCCGATATTTCAATAATTTGTGACATAACAAAATTACGATTGCAGGAATTCTGTGTAATGATAACGTCTCATACAATATGAGCGTGCTATGAAAGTGTCACAGACTATTACGTATACCCCATGGAATGATTCTATTGCGTATTAAATTGTTTACCGGTTTTAGTAACCGTAGCATCTGCGTATCATACGCGTTTAAACCGCGTGCTATCTGTATAGAAAATTTGAGGCTGAAATTAATTTGGTAATAGTATACTTCCAAATGTCAATCAATTAATTATATGGAAAAGGTTAGGGAGAACTCATCGTTTTCCGCCTGCACGGACCAGCGTTACAGCGTTCCATAGCTTACACGTATCAGCACCGGATAGTAAATAAAATTATTAATAAATATTCTCGCTCACAATTCTCAAGCAGGTGCCATTGTTGATAGGGACAGAAGACTGGAGTCTCCATAAAGCTTAGGTTTCCTAGAAAAGCGGTGCCGTTAACTAACGGCCGTCATTTTACGGTTGCTAATAGCAGCCGTCTTTACTTTTTACATTAAATTATGTTATAATGCAAAAAAAAAACTACACGCGAAAAACGTTGAACTAATGTTTATCACCGCTATGATGGCCGTCATGCAAATGACAGCACCGCTATTTGACGTTACGGTGACACTCAACGTTCTCTAGAAAACCTACTCCGATGTTATTTATAGACAACGTATGGGTGACGTCATCCAACGTTACATTACGGCAGTTAGATAACGGCACCGCATTTCTAGGAAACCTAAGCTTAAGACTAAATTTTTACGGTCCTAGCACGGTCATGGTATGAGACGGTACTACTTATATAGGGACATTTGCACAACCTTCTTTGGTTAATAAGATAATATAAATAATAAGCAAATGTTTCCGTCAATAAATCTCTACCAGTCCAATGGATTTTGCATAGCGTCACGCATACTGACACTCTTCTCGGAGTAGAACTGCGAGAACCAATCGCGGAAAGCGCGAATCGACTTGTCAGCTTTGACGTAAGGTGGGGAACTCACGTGCGTCTTGTTGTTCCACACGACAACGTCACGTTCGAACTGGAATGGGATTGGTGAATGACTGAATGAAAACGATTAAATCTTTCATTCAAGCAGTATTGGCCTTGTAGTTTAAGTGTGCGTCTCTCATCCCTGAGGTCGTAGGTTCGAACCCCAGCTGTGCACCAATAGAGTTTTCTGTCTTAATATGCACTTAACATTTGCTCGTATGATGAAGGAAACCAACCAACCCCCAAAAGTCGACGGCGTGTGTCAGACAATCATGAAACCAGACCAGACCTAAAAGGTTGTACCACTGTTTTTTTTTGGTATTCTAATGATGTTATCCCAGTGAGCTCTGGGACTGGTCATGGGTTTGAACACTGGTTTATCTGTGCCCAAGTAATACTTATATACATTACTAATACAGATACATTAAGACCAAAATGAAGTCGGTTTTGTGACATTTATTATTTAACAAAAGTCGGTTACCTGATAAGCTTCCGCGAGTACTAAGATCGCTCCAAAGATCGCATTATAAGTGGGTGAGTAGATGCGATGAACGACTTTCTGTAACATCGGTCCTACGGGAGTGACTGATTGAATGACGTATGCTTCACCAAATATGCAGTTGAAATGGAGACGCACGTGTGCTGGTCCGATCTAAAAAAAAAATTGTTCTAGAACATTACATATAAAAATATAACGGTTAAATTATTTTTGTAGATTTAATGTCGAGACTTAGCGGTAAGTCTTACTCCCGTTTGTCAAAAATTTATCGTACTCGCTCGTAAAGATTGAAGACTGAATCGATCAGTTCAGACAAAAAAGAAAGGGCGAACGTAGCATGAAGCAAATAGCCATGGAGCGACAGTAGAAAGCAAGTTAGTGCGAAAGATCGAGATAGATAAACGCAGATTTTTTATTTATTTATATTTTCATTAGCACGTATACAGTGTGAACATTGTGAATATAGATATACAAATACATGGAGTGATCATATACTGGTACATGATCATCTATTGGGGCTTTACCTTAGTAATAAATTATTTAAAAAGAAGTTTCACTTCTGCCTTGCGATTCTGTAACTCACTTTTCGAGCTCTTACAGCGGTTTTCGAAAGAGTTCGAAAAGTGAGTTACAGAATCGCAAGGCTGACATGTGTGTACTTTGTACGCACGCACTTTTCTCATCTAAGTGAGATGTTTTTAATGAGAATAAACTTCTTTAATCCTGCTCTCACCTGCTTAACACGAAGGTCGAAGGGGAACGCGTTGCACTTTAAAACCATATAATTCTGGTCTATGCTCATTTGTGCGATGTGGGACTCATCTGTTTTTGTCCAGTCAGTTTCCCATATATGGTGACCTGGTAAAAAAGAATTCTTAAATTAGGAACTTAAGAAATCACCGCTGAGACAATTTTTTTGAAGTGAAACTTCTTTAGGCGCATGCGGGTAAAATTTTTAAGGAACGTTACTAAGATGTGCAGTGTATTTGTCGAAGAAAAGGGATAGACTGATTGAGAGAGAGTGATAAGGTTACCTTATAGAAATTCTATTTTTAAAATTAAAATTTCTAGAAGCATTTATGAAATATTAGTATTTTATATTTTATTGAAATCTCAAATGACGAATTGTAAATTAAATGCCACGTGTTTTTATTATCGAAGAAAAACATTATTTGTATTAATTTTCGACACTTAATATTTTAGTGACAATTAAATTAATTAAATTCCTAACGTATCTTCCTTTTTCCCACCCTCTAAGTCTCGGAAATCTAAAGTTTTAGATTTGTATAAATATGAACAAGAGTTAAAAAATAGTTTGCCAAAGAAGTTTCACTTCTGACATGTGTAGTATGCAGACGAAAATAATAATTATAATATATTTTTTCCGCCTAACTTAAGACTAATAAGTAACTTAATTTACTAAAAAGGATATTTAACATAAATGCCCAATAACTTCACTATGTTCTTCTGTACTATTGTTTCTAGTGGGAACGAATTAATCTTTCATTAAACAACAAGTTAGAATAATTAGGTCATAGAGAGCAGTAAGTAAGTACACCGTAAGTCAAAAATATTCAATTTTGACAGACGATGTTCGCTAAAGCTTAGGTTTCCTAGAAAAGCGGTGCAGTTATCTTACGGCCGTAATGTAACGTCACCCATACGTTGTCTATAAATAACATCGGAGTAGGTTTTCTAGAGAACGTTGAGTGTCACCGTAACGTCAAATAGCGGTGCTGTCATTTGCATGACGGCCGTCATAGCGGTGATAAATAGTAGTTCAACGTTATTCGCTTGTAGCGGTGCCCATATTTAATTAATACCATGAGTGGAAACGTGACTTGGACGAGAGAAAATGATGTTTTTTTGCATTATGTTAAAAAGTAAAGACGGCCGTTATTAACAACCGTAAAATGACTGCCGTTAGTTAACGGCACCGCTTTTCTAGGAAACCTAAGCTTAAGTCTCTGTGAATCCCACCCTTAATCTGGGGGTGGGTTACATGACTATTATGTAGCCGTAAAGCAATTCAAGAAAGTATAACATACCTATTATGTTGTTTAAAAATGGAAGGTGCTTTCCAATATTCGTCATAAAAGATAATTGGTGGATGCAATTGAGATGGGCGGCGTCTGCTGCGTTTTCTGGTATATCCTGGGAAATAAAATCAATGAAAAATATCTATTAATAATAGACTTTATGTATTGCTATCTCTTCTTTGATACGTCGACCATTACACCACTCTATCCTCAGCTGGTCTCAGGGCATTAGCGACGTTAAGACAATTGACCCCAACTTCTCCTGCCTTCCGATGCCCCGATCACTTCTTCCTACCAGTTAGTCGAGACTATTCGGTTCTCTCCTGGCAATACGGCCTAAGTAGCCTATCACCCGTTTGTAAATGATAGTTGACAGTCTTGTGGTGATCTTTAGTTGGTTGAGAATGGACTTATTGGTTCTTTTAGCAGTCCATTGTACAACATTCTCCTCCAATACCACATCTGGAATGCCTCTGTCTTTATGAAGTTATACTTCTTCTGGCGCGTTAGGGAAAAATATGAGAGTAAATTTTTACAATGCACGCGCACACCGTCACCGACACCCTGAAGTTAGCTATAGTCAACATTTTAGTTTTTTGAAGTTATACTTCTTTTGGCGCGTTAGGGAAAAATGATGAAAGTATTTTTTTTTTTATTGTTAGTGTAGTTTTTTCTACAAACGTAGAATAAGGCGAAAGATAAAACTTTTGAAAAGATTTTTATCTTGTTACGCCAAATAAGTACAACTTCTAACACTTGTACAATAGTACACACACGTTTTATGTATACTTTATTATGTATTTATACAAAATACCTCTTCTAAATGCTAAATAATTTAAATACAATATGTAAGGGCTCGCATATTATAAAAAAAGTTAAAGTACTACTAAAAAGTACTACTAGTAGTATTTAATAAATCTATTTTCATTTCATTTAAGCAGCATTATGCTGGAACTAGTTTTAAGAACCTTCCAATATCGATGCCGACAGCAATCCCGATCTAAATGAGGTTTATTACCAAGCCAAGGTGGCATCAGCGCTACGAATATTGAGAGAACCATGTCACCTAACTAACGGTTTGATATCGCTATTGGGTAAGTGCGCTGGAGTGACAGAAGATGACAGGCATACGTTCATACTGAATATCTGCAGTTTATTTTCACAACTGCCCTGCGATTCTGTAACTCACTTTTCGAACTCACACAGCGGTTTTCGCATCGGCGGTCGCTCTGAAATCAGGCGTGAAGCAGTCATTTCATGATTTGGCATTCTAATAAACAATAAACTACAAGCTCCCACCTTTTCAGAATGTCAAATCATAAAATGACTGCTTCACGACTGATTTTAGAGCGACCGCCGATGCGAAAACCGCTGTGTGAGTTCGAAAAGTGAGTTACAGAATCGCAGGGCTGAATAGTAAAACAGCTTTAAGAAAACGAGAAATGGTACTTCTACACCTACTATAGTCTTTAATACCCTGAATAGCTAAAGTTATTCCGGAAATTTTTTTCTCTGTGTTGTAATGTTTTCGTTTCGTTTTTTGTATTGTTTTTTTAAACTCTTTAGTTTATATTGACTTGTTTAAGCTATCGCGGAAAATTGTTAATAGGAGTATTAAGAATATCCATAGCGCAAAATCATCATCATGAGCATACTCCACATTCACCTTCACGTACATAGCCTCACTTTTACAGATCACAACACAGCCAAATTACTTGGTTAAATGTATTGAATAATTTTTATTGTTTTGTTTCTTTTGTAAATGTTTGAATATTTTCCTAAATATTATGTATTCCATCTTTGGCTATATTTTTAGTGTAATTGTTTCTTAGCAGTGTTTGTTAGCTGTAGGATTACGAAATAAATAAAGGAATTTAAAATTTGTACAGTAGTGTACCTCTTTGGGCACTAAGGTTAAACCCCTTAGTGGGTTTTTGAAGGAATAACTCCTCCTTTCTTGGCGAATCCTTTTTAAGGTCTCTGCAGTTAGACTATGGAATTCACTTTCCGTCCCTATTCCCTTAGCTCCTTCTCTATCTTCCATTAAATTTCTACTGTACAAACATCACCTGTCCACATCGTATCCCTAACTTTCGTACTAACTACTAACTGACGTGAGACTGATCAAAAAATATCGTGATTCAAGTGCACTTTTTATTTTTCATGTATCCTTTTTAATTTGGTTTTTTGTGCCTGTTTTTGTTTTGTCTTAATAACTATATGTATAATTTTTTTCCCTTCTTGCAACAAGAGCTATCAATGAAATACGACTTGTGAGTTGAGTAATATAGGTTGTTAATAATAATAGATTTATTCTAAGAGGTAACTCACTCGTGTATGAGCGCTGATAAGAAACTCATTCCTGCCCCGATACCCCCATTGAGATAGCTCCGGCAGAGGTGGGACCGTCCACATTGGCGATCTCCCTTCAGCATCATACCAGACCCATACAGCCCCGTCCACCTCCATACAATCCCATTTCTTAATTGATATCCCTTTCGGTACTAAAAACAAAAAATCCAGGCTTTTAAAGATTTTTTGAAGAGTGAATAAAAAGACGTAGAATGTTATTATGTAAATCCATTGTGACCCATATTTTGCAAGAGACGGCTACGTTTTATTTCATCTTAGTATTTTGTGTCGTAGTAAAAGTGTTTACGTTCTGATATCTATTTATAACATGGACCAATATTTATTTGGGATACAAAACAGATACATCAATTAGTTGCTAGTATCCTATAAACCTATCATTTATTAAGAGAGTAATAGTTTCTTAAGTGTACAGCCCTGCGATTCTGTAACTCACTTTTCGAACTCACACAGCGGTTTTCGCATCGGCGGTCGCTCTGAAATCAGTCGTGAAGCAGTCATTTTATGATTTGGCATTCTAATAAACAATAAACCACAAGCTCCCACCTTTACAGAATGCCAAATCATAAAATGACTGCTTCACGACTGATTTGAGAGCGACCGCCGATGCGAAAACCGCTGTGTGAGTTCGAAAAGTGAGTTACAGAATCGCAGGGCAGTTCAAATTTTTAATTTCAAAATTATGTATGTTAATCGGGGGGGAATAAGAATTTTAGAAAGTCTAAGGTGGGCATGGCACGAAAAACTGATCTTGACCTTGCTTGGGGATCACACTATCTATTACTGAAAACTATACAAACATATATTTCGTAGTTTTTGTGTTTATTTCGTTGAAATTAATGAGAAGTAAAATTTGAATACAAAAGACACTTACTATTCTTAACATCAGGTATGTAAGTACATGCCCCATTTTCACCGAACCTCCAATGGTGGAAGGGGCATTCTATACAGTTGCCCTTGACTGACCCTTCGACACCCAAGTTTGCTCCCAAATGGGGACAATATGCATCGACTATCCTGGCGACACCGTCCTCACCTCGGTAAAGGCAAAAGTTTTGACCTGAAAAAACCATAAAGTATACGTCTTCGTGGATCGTGAGTTCGATTTACGACGATGAAATAAAGGTTTGGACGGAGTTACGTTTATATCCGCTTTACTTCCGCATGTAAGGAAGTCGTAAAGCAATTTTGAGATGTATATTCTTATAATTTGGAAAATTTTGATACAAATCGTATATTAATCAAATATATACGTATACATAATATAAGAAAAAACTTTTCTCAAAGGGTGAGCAACGGACCACGATTTTATGCCTAGTTTTTTGGTTTCAACTAGGCCTCCAAAGACTCCCGGACATAAATGAATACCAGGTTGCGTTGGCGGAAGACTGAGACAAAGCTTTCAACGTGAAAACAGTACAGTAAAATCGTATATTAATCAAATATATACATAATACTAGTGGACCCCACAGACGTTGTCCTGCATGATATTTAAAGCGATTAGGATATTAAGCAAAGTATGAAAGTACCGACTGCAGTGCCATCTGCCGGGCTGATTTGTGAATCTAAACCATTCCCAGATCCCCTTGAACACACACAAAAAATTTCATCAAAATCGGTCCAGTCGTTTGAGAGGAGTTCAGTCACATACACACGCACAGAAGAAATATATATATTAAGATTAGAAAAAACTTTCCTCAAAGGGTGAGCAGCGGACCACGACTTTATGCCTTATTATTCGGCTTCATCTAAGCCTCCAACGACTTCCGGATATAAATGAATACCAGGTTGCGTTGGCGGAAGACTGAGACAAAACTTTCAACGTACAAACAGTACTCCAACTGCTTTACGTAAAGACATAATATTTTTAATTTTCCTTTCAATCATCACACACGTTAAACCAGATACTTATGAAAATATGTTAGACAAAGGATATGGAAGAAGGACTTAAGAAGGCGCAGAAGTAACCAGATCCATGCAACTTCCTCACAATCGAGTAGCCCGCACGCAGCACAAAACTAACGGGACTCTTTGTATTGAAGAAGTAGCATGGATTCGAATATACAATACAAACATAATTATGTAGAAATAAAGAAAATAATTAACACAGAAAGGTTAATAAATGACTCGGCAAAAGGAGTTGCTGAAAATGTTCACCGAGTCGTTGTTCATAACAGTTTTATTGCAAATCCTACACAATCTGTTAGGACCATTAAACGATGAGCACAAATGTGAGACAGGCGTTTAAGTGCATACCTAAAGCGTCAACAGGTATAACCTTTCCCACTGTCAAATCTCTACTTTCAGCCAGCGCAAACCATCCGTTGGGATATGGAGGTGGAACTCTTTCTCCGACCTGTCGATTCCTTTGGGACCTCGCTATGTGGAGGACTCGATCCCGGCCTTTCACATATGGAATGTGATCGAAACCTGTGTGGGTCAGTTCCTGAAAGATTTATAGCATGTCAAGGATATATATGTTACAGCCAACTAGCTTAATTAGTCGTTGAATAAACGGCCTAGCCTCTTAACTAAACAGCGCCGTTTAACTAGCGGCCTGAAATATATCTTCAGTGATATTTAACTGTTGTAATAACTAAATGATAATATCTTACCCTTATTAGTATAACTGGACTCCAATACGATTTATATAATACATAGACTACAGCAAGCAGAACAATACACAACAGAATAACATTCGAATATTTAAAGATTATGTCGAAAAGCGCCAATCCTAATCTGCAAGTCAGATTTATTAAAAATAAAAACACTTCCTCTGAGTTCCATTTATGAATTTGACATTGAGCGTTCTCTATTTGAATTTCATGTGTGTCTGCCATTTTGAATCTGTGGACAATAAAAAATATTATAAATATTTAAGTGTTTGCATTACCTACGATTGTTGTTATACAATTTTGTTTTCCTTGTTAAGCGAAATTTGATAAGATAATTTTATAATCGGAAAAAGTATCTAATTTTCCGATATAGAAAGAAACATTTTTCGTAGAAATCACCTCATGTATTTTATATGTACACTTTCCCCAATTAAAACCAGTACGTAATTGTACCTACATATATTATTCGTTTCGTGAATGATGATGATGAAAATCACGAATAAACAAAAATGTTAATTTAAAACACGATATAATATGTGTCTAACATTAAAGAAATGTTGATAAAATTAAAATTGTATTCATACTTAAAATATAGAATACTTATGTAACTGGATATTAAAACAATCATTGTTTTACAATTTGACCTACTTATTACTTCCACTATACTAAAAGATATATAAATATTAATTTAATTTAACGCAAAATTTTGGAGAATACAATTAAAATTTAAAACTTAAACCTGAATCTGTAAATACAATAAATTTAAATTTTGGCGCCTACTATGGCAGAATATATAGCATCTCCTCTTTTGACGCTGCTCTGCTCCTCTGCTAGAACAAGGAAAGTACCGCCTCGTTACTATCTATCAGCACAACATTTTGTTAAATAACATAAAAATTAAAGAAAACAGTGGCGCTACAACCCTTGGTTGCCCTCAGATTTCTGTTTTTAGTTCATCATAATAGTCAAGTAGGTGATCAAGCTTCTGCATTTGACATTGGGTTGGTTTGGTTACGATGTTTTCCACCACAGTACTAGCGAATGATGGTGCACAGTCAGGATAGAAGACTAGGCCAACACTGGTCTAAATAAAACTAAGCAATCTGAGGTTTCGTGTTCCATGGTGAATAGGAGCAATCACTTACGTGTGGAAAAAAATTTGGTTGCAATGTTTATGTTATGATACTGCCTTTTTTATCAGCAAACGGACAGAAGGCTCACGTGATGTTAGATGATAGAGTCCATGGACTCTCAATCCCAGAATGCTAGTAAGTACAGATACCGGCAAACTTCTTGAGCATTTAACAGTGGGGGAAAGTTTGCGCATCGCGGGACAGAATAGTCAACTGATTTACCAATCACGCGATCGAAACTTCACTCTCCCGCCGCTGCGCCACCGTCCGCCGTCCCCCTCCCAGTGATACCTAAAAATCGCTTCTGCGCAGGCAAGGACACTTGATCAACATGTTTGCCGTATCTGTACCGGCATTTTCAGAATTGGTATGCTCTTTTCCTGATGGACTTGGAAGTGGTTCGAGAACGTTTCAGTGGGCAGCTCGTTCCACGTAGTGGTGGTGTCAAATGTCAGGTGTTATCACTTGAAATAACCAATCAGAATCAAACGAACGCGCCAACGTTTACTTGACTTACATGCCCAAGAGGCTGGTTCAAAAAATACCTGCGATGTTTCTTTAATAGTAGTTACAATGGTAGTGTATGAGGTAATGAGTAATCCCGAGTAAAATCGAATGTTAAACAATGTTTTAAAACGTGTAAACACCTCAGTCGTTTCCCAGAATTACGCACATTTTTCCACGAAACTAAACTAAGCAGTAATTCAATATGCATGTCTTATGTTACCCTGGCCTTGTGATGCAAGCATTTTAATATGGGACAATTTTATTGACATATCCGTGTTCTAGAATTATTAATCGAAGTTTTTGAAGTGAAACTTTTTAAGGCGCATGAGGGTAAATTTTTAAGCCAACGTCACGAAGATGTGCAGCGTTTTTGTCGAAGAAAATTGAGAGAGCGACTGAGACCGATTGAGAGAGAGTGAGAAAGGCGAATTATCTTATAGAAATTCTAATTTTAAAATTAAAATTTCGTAAAGAGAATTGTAAATTTAAATGTCACGGGTTTTTATTATCGAATTTAAAAAATTTAATTTATAATTTGTATTAATTTACGACACTTGTTATTTTAATGACAATTAAATTTATTAAATTCCTTACATATCTTCCTTTTTCCCGTCCTCTAAGCCTCGGAAATCTAAAGTTATAGATTTGTATAAATATGAACAAGACTTAAAAATTTGTTTGCCAAAGAAGTTTCACTCCTGACATGTGTACTTTGTACGCACGCACTTTTTTTTAATGACTTAATTGTCATCATGTATGAGCGTCGTGACCAGCAAGGAAACATCTGGAGCGGAAAACCTGTTTCCAGCGTTGACAGTGTACAGTTTTGAGATGAGTCTTTCACTTAATCGGTCCATCTGGTTGGGCCACATGATCTTTTGCCTTCTGTGTTACCAACCACGATCAGTTTCTCCAAGTTCTCATCACCTCTCCGTATGGTAGACAGGCGAGTCCGTATGAGAAGTTGGGTCAGGATCGATTTATCGTAAAAAATAAATAATAATAAAGCCCGTTTTATTTCCAATCATGACAAAAACAAATTATATTACATTTTTTTTTCTTTTGCTTGTTATTCTATATTCTAGCTTCCTTCAGTACCGTCGATCGGAACCCCTTCACGGGTAAAGGCCTCCCCCAGCTTTTTCCAACTGACTCTAATTAGTATATCGACTTTGAATCGATAGCTAAAAACCATCAAGCAGAGTCCTTACTGGACCTTCTATGGCGATACTGACAATTGCGATTACAATAATGAGTATTGTGCAATTCCAAGCAGACATCAGCGCTACGGATTTTGAGAGAACTTTTCTCAGTATCACCTCGACGTCCGCCGTTCAACGACTGAGCGTTTTTCAAGGCAATTTTTGCCGTGCACCACCGCTATGTGGAGCAGACACAGCTGCCCACAGAAGTGTTTCCAAACCAATTCGCCTAAGGGTCCTTCAAGAAAAGAGCGTACCAATTCTTAAAAGACCGGTAACGCACTCGCGAGCCCTTTGGCATTGAGAGTGTCCATGGGCGGCGGTATCACTTAACATCAGGTGAGCCTCCTGTCCGTTTGCCCCCTGTTCTATAAAAAAAAAACTAGATCGAACAAAAATCTGTTGGTGTTGGCTATTTGTACATTCGTTTAGGTAAATACCATAGAGTCATATACGTCAGTCTGTGACACGCCTAGAGGATTTACCTCCTTTTTGGGTTAAAAATAAAAGTAAACAACAAAGCCAAAGAAAAACATGGACTAAATGTAACTGCGTATAATTTATTGTGTCGTAATGGACTTGTTTATCTTATGTAAGAATCTAAGAAAACCTTGGCCATTTAAGAGTGCCAGTTCTTCTTGTACGTTCACGCATTTTTATGTTCATAAGTGTACAATTAATGATAATTTCGGATGAATGGAGGAAGAAAGGTGCTCTGAACTGAAAGGAGGGAGTATAAAAGGTGTATATCTTAGTATAATAGTTTTTTTATTATAGGTACATGGTCTTCACATATAATTAATGTATACAAAATATTGCAATAACTGTTTTAAAAGAGTAAGTAGGTATGGCGTTTCTTGCCCATTCTTCTCCATATGAAACTGCATTTTGCCCTCCCAAAAGGTAACTACTAAAGGCAACTTGAGTCATTTTTTTTTAATTTCTAAATAATTTTAATTTTATTTTTGTCTTTGATTCTCCAGCAGTCTGACTGACCCGAAGGCCCAGCTCAGGTGGAGAGTACCCGTAGCAGTCGGAATAAATTCGTGAGCGCGTTACAGGATGTGACGTCATCGTACTAATTCTAGGTGTCGCTAGATTTTCTTTCATAAGGCAAGCCTAGTTGAATGATTGTGGTACCTTTGAGGAATGAATGAAAGAGCGCAATAATACGGCGTATAACGGCTGAAAGACGGAAGTTAATAATAAAAAAAAACAATCTATCCTCCGCTCAGGATGGCAAAGTACTACAGAGGATATACAGGGATTAATTAAAAAGTTAATTACACACAGACGCAAAGTTACACCCACACATGTAGAAGATATATATACAATCACATTAAAGTAAACTTCCCTTATTACTGTCAAACTTGATTAATAGGAGGATACCTTTTGCTTAAAGGTCTCCGAGAACATTTCAAAACTCCGAAATTTATGATTCTGATTCTTATTGAATATGAAAGATAGACTATATACTTTAGCTATTTAATTATGCTTATAACCGAAGGTTTAAACATAGTTGATTGATGATATTATGGGCAGTTATAATTTGCACGCTTTCGACACAAATATACTATCGGATATAAGTTGCTTTAATGTAAAGGAAGGAAAGGTGATAAATATTTTTTTAAAGAGAAAAAACATATTTTATAAATATTTAAGACGCTCGAACAACATTTTATCAGAATTGACAGTAAAATATGGTTTAAACTGTGTATAAAGAATTTTTGATTCTTGTACGATATCTCTGTAAGTATGGCAATATGTTATTATATATGAACAGCCCACGTGCGTTGTTTATTATTGGTTATAATTATAACTATAACCATAATCAATAGCTTAGAAATAATAATATCATTGGAAACATATTAAAATATATATAACCGATTTAATTTTAGTCAAACAATGGCGTCTGAGAAGATAAAGTTTTCCGACATTGGAATGTGTGGCCAAGTTCTGAATATTAACTATTGCTGCTATTCGACCGAATTCCTTTTTCAAATTTCCCAAAACCCATAGACTACAGAAAAACTTACCCAAAGACAAACACGATGCTACAGAGCAAATATTGTACGCGCACTGATGTTATTCAGTGTTGTTCCCGACTTATATTTACATTTTAAATTCGAGAATTACCTATTAATGTATGGGGGCGAAATTTTATGTTCTTTTTTCAAATTTATAAGATTTGGTCTTCTGATAAAAAATACGGTCCAAAACAATTTTTTGCTTGTATTAATGCGTTCAATTTAAGCAAACACAAAATTATAATTGTTACATCTTTAATGAACAATTTTATAACAAAGATGTTTTATCTGATTACAAATAAATCTTCTGTGTTAATTTAAAAAATGTTTTCAATATTTGTGACTGTATCGATATA